AGCTAATGAGGTGAGGACTCCACTTCTCGAATGGGGGCCGGTCCTGGGGTCGCCCCCGTGACCGACCCCGTGTCCCCCCGTGACTGACCTCCTGCACTGACCCCCGTGACTGACCCTGTGACTGACCCCGTGTCCCCTCGTGACTGACCCCTGTGACCGACCCCCGTGATCCCCTGTGACTCGACCCCCGTGTCCCCCCGCAGGAGGTGAAGCTCTACAAGAACGCCCGGGAGAGGGAGAAGTGAGTGATGAGCGTGGGGGGGTCCTGGGATTTTGGAGGGGGAAGATCCCCCGTCCCACCCCCCCGGGCCCGGGGGGAGCAGAGGGGCCGGGGAGGGAGGGAGGGTTTGGGGCACCGGGGGTGGCACCGGACCCCCTTTTCCATTGGGGGCATTCCTGGGACCCCCTTCCCCATCAACAGACCCCCCCCGTGTCCATCCCAGTCCCCTCCTGGGACCCCTTTCTCCATCACCCCCCGTTCTCCATCCTCTTCCCTTCTCCCCACTGTGGCTCCCCCTGGTCCCAACTTTTCCATCCCGGTCCTTCCCAGGATCCCCTTATCTCACCCCGGTCCTTCCTGGGACATCCTTGTCCATCCTGGTCCCTCTGGAACCCTGCTGTCCATCACCATCCCCCAGTGGTCCATCCTGGTCCCCTTCTCTCCGTTGTGGTCCCTCCTGGGACACCCCAGTCCCTCCTGGAACACCCCTGTCCATCCTGGTCCCTCTGGGACACGCCAATCCCTCCTGGGACCCCCCTGTCCCTCCTGGGACACCCCTGTCCACCCTGGTCCCTCGATGGACACCCCTGTCCATCCTGGAACACCCCTGTCCATCCCAGTCCCTCCTGGGACACCCCTGTTCATCCTGGGACACCCCTGTCCATCCCAGTCCCTCCTGGGACACCCCTGTCCATCCCAGTCCCTCCTGAGACACCCCTGTCCACCCTGGTCCCTCCTGGGACACCCCTGTCCATCCTGGAACACCCCTGTCCATCCCAGTCCCTCCTGGGACACCCCTGTTCATCCCAGTCCCTCCTGAGACACCCCTGTCCACCCCTGTCCCTCCTAGGACATCTCTGTCCATCCCAGTCCCTCCTGAGACACCCCTGTCCACCCCTGTCCCTCCTAGGACACCCCTGTCCACCCTGGACACCCCTGTCCCTCCTGAGACACCCCTGTCCCTCCTGGGACACCCCTGTCCATCCTGATCCCTCCTGGGACACCCCTGTCCCTCCTGGGACACCCCAGTCCCTCCTGGGACACCCCTGTCCATCCCAGTCCCTCCTGGGACACCCCTGTCCCTCCTGGGACACCTCCTGTGACACCCTGTCCCTCCTGGGACACCCCTGTCCATCCCAGTCCCTCCTCCTGGGACACCCCTGTCCCTCCTGGGACATCCCAGTCCCTCCTGGGACACCCCTGTCCATCCTGATCCCTCCTGGGACACCCCTGTCCCTCCTGAGACACCCCTGTCCACCCTGGGACACCCCAGTCCCTCCTGGGACACCCCTGTCCATCCTGGGACACCCCTGTCCATCCCAGTCCCTTTCCTGGGACACCCCAGTCCCTCCTGGGACACCCCAGTCCCTCCTGGGACACCCCTGTCCATCCCAGTCCCTCCTGGGACACCCCTGTCCCTCCTGGGACACCCCAGTCCCTCCTGGGACACCCCTGTCCATCCTGATCCCTCCTGGGACACCCCTGTCCCTCCTGAGACACCCCTGTCCACCCTGGGACACCCCAGTCCCTCCTGGGACACCCCTGTCCATCCTGGGACACCCCTGTCCATCCCAGTCCCTTTCCTGGGACACCCCTGTCCCTCCTGGGACACCCCTGTCCATCCTGATCCCTCCTGGGACATCCCTGTCCATCCCAGTCCCTTTCCTGGGACACCCCAGTCCCTCCTGAGACACTCCTGTCCATCCTGATCCCTCCTGGGACATCCCTGTCCATCCCAGTCCCTCCTGAGACACTCCTGTCCATCCTGATCCCTCCTGGGACACTCCAGTCCCTCCTGGGACACCCCTGTCCCTCCTGGGACACCCCTGTCCACCCCAGTCCCTTTCCTGGGACACCGCTGTCCCTCCCGACCCCAGGTACGACAACATGGCCGAGCTGTTTGCGGTGGTGAAGACGCTGCAGGCGCTGGAGAAGGCCTACATCAAGGACTGCGTGTCCCCCAACGAGTGAGGATGGGATACAGGGCTGGGATACTGGGATGGGATACAGGGCTGGGATGGGATACAGGGATGGGATACAGGGATGGGATACAGGGATGGGATACAGGGATGGGATACAGGGATGGGATACAGGGATGGGATGATAGGATGGGATACAGGGATGGGATGGGATGGGATACAGGGATGGGATACAGGGATGGGATACAGGGATGGGATACAGGGATGGGATACAGGGATGGGATGGCATGGCATGGGATACAGGGATGGGATACAGGGATGGCATGGGATACAGGGATGGGATACAGGGATGGGATACAGGGATGGGATACAGGGATGGGATACAGGGATGGGATACAGGGATGGGATGGGATGAGACTCCCCCACGGCCTTCCCTGTGCCCCCATCCCCACCCCAAACCCTGCACAGCAAGGACTGCGTGTCCCCCAACGAGTGAGGGATGGGATACAGGCGTGGGATACAGGGATGGGATACAGGAATGGGATGGGATGGGATGGGATGGGATGGAATGGGATGGGATGGGATGGGATGGGATGGGATGGGATGGGATGGGATGGGATGGGACTCCCCCACGGCCTTCCCTGTGCCCCCATCCCCACCCCAGACCCTGCACAGCAAGGACTGTGTGTCCCTCAACGAGTGAGGACGGGATACAGGGCTGGGATACAGGGATGGGATACAGGGATGGGATGGGATGGGACTCCCCCACGGTCTTCCCTGGGCCCCCATCCCCATGCCAGGCTCTGGACTGTGTCCCCCCCAACGAGTCAGTCTGTGCCCCTGGAACACCCCAGATCCCTGGGATGGGCTGGAACACCCCAGGATGGGCAGGAACACCCCAAATCCCCGGGATGGGCAGGAACACCCCAAATCCCTGGGATGGGCAGGAACACCCCAGATCCCTGGGATGGGCTAGAACACCCCAAATCCCTGGGATGGGCAGGAACACCCCAGATCCTTGGGATGGGCAGGAACACCCAAAATGGGCAGGAACCCCCCAGATCCCTGGGATGGGCTGGAACACCCCAGGATGGGCTGGAACACCCCAGATCCCTGGGATGGGCAGGAACACCCCAGATCCCTGGGATGGGCAGGAACACCCCAGATCCCTGGGATGGGCTGGAACACCCCAGATCCCTGGGATGGGCTGGAACACCCCAGGATGGGCAGGAACACCCCAGGATAAGCAGGAACACCCCAAATCCCTGGGATAAGCAGGAACACCCCAGATCCCTGGGATGGGCAGGAACACCCCAGATCCCTGGGATGGGCTGGAACACCCCAGATCCCTGGGATGGGCTGGAACACCCCAGATCCCTGGGATGGGCAGGAACACCCCAGATCCCTGGGATAAGCAGGAACACCCCAGATCCCTGGGATAAGCAGGAACACCCCAAATCCCTGGAATGGGCAGGAACACCCAAAATGGGCAGGAACACCCCAGATCCCTGGAATGGGCAGGAACACCCAAAATGGGCAGGAACACCCCAGATCCTTGGGATGGGCAGGGACACCCCAGATCCCTGGAGGGACAGGAACACCCCAGATCCCTGGGATGGGCAGGAACACCCCAGGATGGGCAGGAACACCCCAGATCCCTGGGATGGGCAGGGACACCCCAGATCTCTGGGATGGGCAGGAACACCCAAAATGGGCAGGAACACCCCAGGATGGGCAGGAACACCCCAGATCTCTGGAGGGACAGGAACACCCCAGATCCCTGGGATGGGCTGGAACACCCCAGATCCCTGGGATGGGCTGGAACACCCCAGATCCCTGGAGGGACAGGAACACCCCAGCTCCCTGGGATGGGCTGGAACACCCCAGATCCCTGGGATGGGCAGGAACACCCCAGATCCCTGGGATAGGCAGGGACACCCCAGATCCCTGGGATGGGCAGGGACACCCCAAATCCCTGGGATGGGCTGGAACACCCCAGATCCCTGGGATGGGCAGGGACACCCCAAATCCCTGGGATGGGCTGGAACACCCCAGATCCCTGGGATGGGCAGGAACACCCAAAATGGGCAGGAACCCCCCAGATCCCTGGGATGGGCTGGAACACCCCAGGATGGGCTGGAACACCCCAGGATAAGCAGGAACACCCCAGATCCCTGGGATGGGCAGGAACACCCCAGATCCCTGGGATGGGCAGGAACACCCCAGATCCCTGGGATAGGCAGGGACACCCCAGATCCCTGGGATGGGCAGGGACACCCCAAATCCCCGGGATGGTCAGGGACACCCCAGCTCCCAGGCTGGGCTGGGCAGGACCCCCCGTGCCCCCCAAATCGCCCATGCCAGGTACACGGCCGCCTGTTCCCGCCTGCTGGTGCAGTTCAAGGCGGCGCTGAAGCAGGTCCAGGGCTCCGAGATCAGCTCCATCGACGACTTCTGCCGCAAGTTCCGGGTGAGCCGCCCCCCCAGAGCCCCCGGAATTCCGGAATTCCAGCTCCGGAGGCCTCCGTGTGCCACGGGTGTCCCTCCCGCAGCTGGACTGCCCCCTGGCCATGGAGAGGATCAAGGAGGACAGACCCATCACCATCAAGGACGACAAGGGCAACCTCAACCGCTGCATCGCCGACATCGTCTCCGTACGGCCCCGCGGGGATCCGGGGGGGTGGGAATCGTGGTGGGGGTGATCCCGGTGATCCCAGCCAGCCCCTTCCCACAGCTCTGCACTGGGAATCATGGTGGGGTGGGGGTGATCCCAGTGATCCCGGCCAGCCCCTTCCCACAGCTCTTCACTGGGAATCATGGTGGGGTGGGGGGTGATCCCGGTGATCCCAGCCAGGCTCTTCCCACAGCTCTGCACTGGGAATCATGGTGGGATTGGGGGGTGATCCCGGTGATCCCAGTCAGCCCCTTCCCACAGCTCTTCACTGGGAATCATGGTGGGGTGGGGGGTGATCCCAGTGATCCCAGCCAGGCTCTTCCCACAGCTCTTCACTGGGAATCATGGTGGGATTGGGGGGTGATCCCAGTGATCCCGGCCAGCCCCTTCCCACAGCTCTTCACTGGGAATCATGGTGGGATTGGGGGGTGATCCCAGTGATCCCGGCCAGCCCCTTCCCACAGCTCTTCACTGGGAATCATGGTGGGATTGGGGGGTGATCCCGGCCAGCCCCTTCCCACAGCTCTGCACTGGGAATCGTGGTGGGATTGGGGGGTGATCCCGGTGATCCCAGCCAGGCTCTTCCCACAGCTCTGCACTGGGAATCACAGCAGGGTGGGGGGTGATCCCAGTGATCCCAGTGATCCCAGCCAGGCTCTTCCCACAGCTCTTCATCACGGTGATGGACAAGCTGCGCCTGGAGATCCGCGCCATGGACGAGGTGGGGTCGGGATCGGGGGTGGGATCGGGGTTGGGGTTGGGATCAGGGTTGGGATTGGGGTTGGGGTCAGGGTTGGGGTTGGGATTGGGGGTGGGATCAGGGTTGGGGTTGGGATCAGAGGTGGGATCAGGGTTGGAGTTGGGATTGGGATCAGGGTTGGGGTTGGGATCGGGGTTGGGGTCAGGATTGGGGTTGGGATCAGGGTTGGGGTCAGGATTGGGGTTGGGGTCAGGACTGGGGTTGGGATCAGGGTTGGGATCAGGAGTTGGGGTCAGGATTGGGGTTGGGGTCAGGACTGGGGTTGGGATCAGGGTTGGGATCGGGGTTGGGGTCAGGATTGTGGTTGGGATCAGAGGTGGGATCAGGGGTGGGGTCAGGTTTGGGATCAGAGGTGGGATCAGGGCTGGGATCGGGTTTGGGGTCAGGAGCATTGCCAGGGCAGCCTCATCCTCCCCATCCCAAACCGCCATTCCCACAGATCCAGCCGGACCTGCGGGAGCTGATGGAGACGATGAACCGCATGAGCCACCTGCCCCCCGACTTCGAGGGCAGGCAGAAGGTCAACCAGTGGTGAGCGCCGGGCTGGGGAGTGGTGGATGGGAGGGGGGGGGTCATTCCCAGGTTTCTGGGGGTCCTGAGCCCGCCCTGCCCCTTCCCAAGGCTGCAGACGCTGAGCGGGATGTCGGCCTCGGACGAGCTGGACGATTCCCAGGTGCGGCAGATGCTCTTCGACCTGGAGTCCGCCTACAACGCCTTCAACCGCTTCCTGCACTCCTGAGCCCCTCCCAGACCCTCCCAAAGCCGGGACAATAAACAGACCCAAAAATAAGGATAAATAAGGGGGTGTAATGATCCTGCCGGGGCTGGGTCCAATGGGGATCCCCCAGTTAAAACCAGTCCCTCCCAGTGCCCTCAGGGGCCCTTCCAGAAGAGCCTCTGGTCGCTCCGGACGCGGCGCCCGCAGAGCCGCAGATCCCGGATCATCCCCGTGCTCCTCGTCCAGGTGGGCTCGTCCAGGGGCCCCACGGAGCAGCCTGGGGAAGGGGAGGGGAGGTGACACGGGGACAGTGACACTGGGACAGTGACACAGGGACAGTGACACAGGAACAGTGACACGGGGACAGTGACACCAAGGACAGTGACACTGGGACAGTGACACAGGGACAGTGACACCAAGGACAGTGACACTGGGACAGTGACACCAGGGACAATGACACCAAGGACAGTGACACAGGCACAGTGACACAGGGGCAGTGACACAGGGACAGTGACACAGGGGACAGTGACACGGGGACAGTGACACAAGGACAGTGACACAGGGTCAGTGACACAGGGACAGTGACACAAGGACAGTGACACAGGGGACAGTGACACGGGGACAGTGACACGGGGACAGTGACACAGGGGACAGTGACACAGGGACAGTGACACCAAGGACAGTGACACAGGGTCAGTGACACCAAGGACAGTGACACGGGGACAGTGACACGGGGACAGTGACACAGGGGACAGTGACACAGGGGACAGTGACACGGGGACAGTGACACAGGGGACAGTGACACAGGCACAGTGACACAGGGGCAGTGACACCAAGGACAGTGACACAGGGTCAGTGACACCAAGGACAGTGACACGGGGACAGTGACACAGGGACAGTGACACCAAGGACAGTGACACAGGGTCAGTGACACCAAGGACAGTGACACAGGGACAGTGACACCAAGGACAGTGACACGGGGACAGTGACACAGGGACAGTGACACCAAGGACAGTGACACAGGGACAGTGACACCAAGGACAGTGACACCAAGGACAGTGACACGGGGACAGTGACACCAAGGACAGTGACACAGGGACAGTGACACAGGGACAGTGACACCAAGGACAGTGACACCAAGGACAGTGACACAGGGACAGTGACACAGGGACAGTGACACGGGGACAGTGACACGGGGACAGTGACACAGGGGACAGTGACACAGGCACAGTGACACAGGGGCAGTGACACCAAGGACAGTGACACAGGGTCAGTGACACCAAGGACAGTGACACAGGGACAGTGACACCAAGGACAGTGACACCAAGGACAGTGACACAGGGACAGTGACACAGGGACAGTGACACGGGGACAGTGACACGGGGACAGTGACACAGGGACAGTGACACAGGAACAGTGACACAGGGACAGTGACACCAAGGACAGTGACACAGGAACAGTGACACAGGGACAGTGACACAGGGACAGTGACACGGGGACAGTGACACGGGGACAATGACACCAAGGACAGTGACACAAGGACAGTGACACCAAGGACAGTGACACAGGGACAGTGACACAGGGACAGTGACACGGGGACAGTGACACGGGGACAGTGACACAGGGACAGTGACACCAGGACAGTGACACCAAGGACAGTGACAGCAGGGACAGTGACACAGGGACAGTGACACGGGGACAGTGACACGGGGACAGTGACACCAAGGACAGTGACAGCAGGGACAGTGACACAGGGACAGTGACACGGGGACAGTGACACGGGGACAGTGACACCAAGGACAGTGACACGGGGACAGTGACACAGGGACAGTGACACCAGGGACAATGACACCAAGGACAGTGACACCAAGGACAGTGACACAGGGACAGTGACACCAGGGACAGTGACACAGGGACAGTGACACGGGGACAGTGACACAGGAACAGTGACACCAGGACAGTGACACTGGGACAGTGACACAGGAACAGTGACACCAAGGACAGTGACACCAGGACAGTGACACCAAGGACAGTGACACAGGGACAGTGACACCAAGGACAGTGACAGCAGGGACAGTGACACAGGGTCAGTGACACCAAGGACAGTGACACCAAGGACAGTGACACAGGGACAGTGACACCAAGGACAGTGACACCAGGACAGTGACACCAAGGACAGTGACACAGGGACAGTGACACCAAGGACAGTGACACCAAGGACAGTGACACCAGGACAGTGACACCAAGGACAGTGACACAGGGACAGTGACACAGGGACAGTGACACCAAGGACAGTGACAGCAGGGACAGTGACACAGGGTCAGTGACACCAAGGACAGTGACACCAAGGACAGTGACACAGGGACAGTGACACCAAGGACAGTGACACCAGGACAGTGACACCAAGGACAGTGACACAGGGACAGTGACACAGGGACAGTGACACCAAGGACAGTGACACCAGGACAGTGACACCAAGGACAGTGACACAGGGACAGTGACACCAAGGACAGTGACAGCAGGGACAGTGACACAGGGTCAGTGACACCAAGGACAGTGACACGGGGACAGTGACACCAAGGACAGTGACAATTCCCACCTGCCAAGCTGAGGAATTCCAGCCCCCGGCTCCGCTTTTCCAGGGCCCCGAGCAGCGTCCGCAGGCCCTCGGTGCTGATCCCGGGATTGGCCGAGAGATCCAGGGAAACCAGGGACGGGCAGGACGGGAGGGACCTGAGGGGAGAGAGTCAGGGGGTCCCCACTGTCACCCCATTGTCCCCAAGGGGGGTTCTGTTGTCCCCAGGAAGGTCCCGTTGTCCCCAAGGGGGGGTTCCCGTCATTCCCAGTGTCCTGTACTGGGGTCTCCATCGGGATGGGAAGGGGGAGGGTCCTGCTGCCAGGACCCCCCAGCTGTCCCCTGTCCCCTCACCTGGCCACCTCCTCAATGTCCTCGTCCCCCAGGTGGTTCCCGGAGAGCGTGAGGTGACTCAGGGCACAGCCGTCCTGTGGGGGGGCACAGGGAATGTCACCGTCCCCCTGGGAATGGCACCATCCCCCTGGGAATGGCACCATCCCCCTGGGAATGGCACCACCCCAGGAATGGCACCACCCCGGGAATGTCACTGTCCCCCTGGGAATGTCACCATCCCCCTGGGAATGGCACCATCCCCCTGGGAATGGCACTGTCCCCCTGGGAATGGCACCATCCCAGGAATGTCACCATCCCCCTGGGAATGCCACCATCCCCCCGGGAATGCCACCATCCCGGGAATGTCACCGTCCCCCTGGGAATGGCACCATCCCCCTGGGAATGTCACCATCCCCCTGGGAATGGCACCGTCCCCCTGGGAATGGCACTGTCCCCCTGGGAATGGCACCATCCCCCTGGGAATGTCACCATCCCCCTGGGAATGGCACCGTCCCCCTGGGAATGGCACTGTCCCCCTGGGAATGGCACCACCCCAGGAATGTCACTGTCCCCCTGGGAATGTCACTGTCCCCCTGGGAATGGCATCATCCCCCTGGGAATGGCACCGTCCCCCTGGGAATGCCACCATCCCCCTGGGAATGGCACCGTCCCCCTGGGAATGGCACCATCCCCCTGGGAATGGCACTGTCCCCCTGGGAATGTCACCGTCCCCCTGGGAATGGCACCACCCCAGGAATGTCACCATCCCCCTGGGAATGGCACCCCCCATGCCCCTCAACATCCCAAAAGTCCCCAGTGTCCCCTCTGTCCCACTGTCCCCAACATCCCCCATGTTGTCCCTGTGCACCCCCTGTCCCCGACACTGTCCCCATCCCATGTCCCCTCTGTGTCCCAGATGTTCCCCACGTCCATAATTCCCTGATGTCCCCAACACCCTCCAGGTACCCTCTGTCCCCAGCATTCCCTGATGTCCCCAACACCCTCCAGGTACCCTCTGTCCCCAGCATTCCCTGATGTCCCCAACATCCTCCAGGTACCCTCTGTCCCCAGCATTCCCTGATGTCACAACACCTCCAGGTACCCTCTGTCCCCAGCATTCCTGATGTCCCCAACATCCTCCAGTGCCTCTACACCCTGATGTCTAACATCCTCAGGTGCCCTCTGTCCCAGCATTCCCTGATGTCCCCAACATCCTCCAGGTACCCTCTGTCCCCAGCATTCCCTGATGTCCCCAACATCCTCCAGGTACCCTCTGTCCCCAGCATTCCCTGATGTCCCCAACATCCTCCAGGTACCCTCTGTCCCCAACATTCCCTGATGTCCCCAACATCAGGATTCTGTCCCCAACATTCCGTGTCCCAACATCCCCCCATGAGCCCCTGCCTCGTGTCCCCAGCATTCCATGTCCCCTGTGTCAGCATTCCCTGTCCCCAACATACCCTGTCTCCAACATTCCATATCTAATGTCCTACGCCCTAACTCTCAGAGCCTCAAAGATATTCCTCAAGTCCCCACTGATGCCCTCACCCAATATCCATGTATCCAATGATTTCTGTCCCAACATCTGATGTCCAATGATTTATTATTGTCCTCCCATGTCCTAATATCTGATTCCACATCCACCTCAACATCATTGATCTCTCAAAGATCTGCTCATGATCACCATGTCTTTGATCTCACAGTCCTAAAGATCCTCCTGTTCCTGCACTATGTCTCACTCCATGATCCAAAAAGATCCCACCACCTGTGTCCCATGTCCCACATCAGCCCACTGTCACAACCACCATTTTCAGGTCCTGTGCACCCAGACTTATGCCCATTAGATCTGAACTGAATAACTGTCTCAGTATCAGGCCCTGGTGTCCTGAAGACTTCATCCCAAATTCCCACCTCAACATCCAAATCCCCACAAAGTCTGAATATCTGCAGTCCTGACTCAGTGGCCCCGAAGATCGAGACTCAGTGTCCCAGCACTCTCACCCACTTCCAATCCACACCTCTAGCCCAGGGACTTCAACCTCCCAAGCCTCAGTCTCACCTCGCCCAGGTAGAGAGTTTTACTGCCATGCCGGGAGGGATGTAAGCGACACCAAACTGTACAGCTGCATTTCACCTGGACACTGAGGAATCTCCCACAACAGAAGCAGAGAGTACAGCTGATGGACTGCCCACACCTGGGGCCACTGAGGCACCCAAATTAAATACTTGTATAACAAAATTATTGTAATATGACACTGGGTCGTCACAATGGCAAAACTATATTACCATGATAGACACCCAGCAGACTGCCCCAGCATCGTAAGACCAAATACCTGAGGTCAGAATGAGGCCCACTGAGGTGTCTATAACACCAAAATGCTATGGGACAATTGGGTGACACCAGGCTAACACACTGCCATGAGGGACACTGATATCACTGAGGCCCACCAGGATCAACAAAACATGAAGACAGACAACAAAATCACCAGGACTGAGTGGTCCAGTGGTCACCAGGGTCACAGATGACAAATGATCACCAAATCAAAATCTCACAGTCCACACTAGAGGTCAGGACAGGCGCCGTTAGCTGGACCCAGCCAGGGGGGCACTGGGGGTCACCCAGGGACACTGGGGGTCACTGAGGGTCACTGGGGGTCACCGTGGGTTCCCCATGGGGCCCAGCGCATTGCAGGACAGGGACAGCGCCCGCAGCGGGGACGTGCCTGGCACAGGGGGGCACTGGGGGTCACTGAGGGGTCACCCAGGGACACTGGGGGTCACTGGGGGTCACTGAGGGGTCACCCAGGGACACGGGGGGTCACCAGAGGGACAGGACACGGGGGGTCACCAGGGGGTCACTGCAGGGCCCAGCGCATTGCAGGACAGGGACAGCGCCCGCAGCGGGGACGTGCCTGGCACGGGGGGCACTGGGGGTCACTGAGGGGTCACCGGGGGGTCACCACAGGGACACTTGGGGTCACTGTGGGGTCACTGGGGGTCACCCAGGGACACTGGGGGTCACTAAGGGGTCACCACAGGGACAGGACATGGGGGGTCACCGTGGGGTCCCTGCGGGGCCCAGAGCATTGCAGGACAGGGACAGCGCCCGCAGTGGGGACGTGCCTGGCACGGGGGACACTGGGGGTCACTGGGGGTCACTGGGGGTCATTGCAGGGACACCGGGGGTCACTGGGGGGACACTGGGGGTCACTGAGGGGTCACTGAGGGTCACTGGGGGTCACCCAGGGACACTGGGGGTCACTGAGGGGTCACTGAGGGGTCACTGGGGGTCACCCAGGGACACTGGGGGGGACCCGGGGGTCTCACCTGGCAGCGGGAGGGTGTGGCAGAGGCCGCAGCCCCGCAGCAGCAGCGTGGCCAGCGCGGGGCAGGACGGCAGCAGCCGCCCCACGGCCCCACAGCCGCTGCTGCCCAGAGGGTTCAGGCTCAGGTCCAGCTCCTGCAGGCTCTGCGGGGACACACGGACACCAAGGGGACACACGGACACGGGGGACACACGGACACGGGGACACACGGACACAAGGGGGACACATGGACATGGGGGGGACACACGGACATGGGGGGGACACACGGACACCAAGGGGGACACACGGACACGGGGACACAGGGACATGGGGACACATGGACATGGGGGGGACACATGGACATGGGGGACACACGGACACAAGGGGGACACAGGGACACGGGGGGGACACACGGACATGGGGGGGACACATGGACATGGGGACACATGGACACGGGGGACACACGGACACCAAGGGGCGACACACGGACACGGACACAGGGACATGGGCACATGGACATGGGGACACACGGACATGGAGACACACGGACACAAGAGGGACACATGGACATGGGGGGGACACACGGACATGGGGGGGACACACGGACATGGGGGACACATGGACACACGGGGGACACACGGACATGGGGACACATGGACATGGGGACACAGGACACGGGGGGGACACACGGACACGGGGACACGGACATGGACACATGGACACGGGACACACGGACACGGGGACATACAGACACATGGACACATGGAGGGGACACACGGACATGGGGGACACACGGACACGGGGGACACACGGACATGGGGGGGACACATGGACACGGGGGACACACGGACATGGGGACACACGGACATGGGGACACACGGACATGGGGACACACGGACATGGGGGACACACGGACATGGGGACACCGGACATGGGGACACGGACATGAGAGACACACGGACATAGGAGGGACACACGGACATGGGGGACACCACGGACACTGGAGGGACACAGGACACCTCAAGGGACACACGGACAGGCGGACCACACGGACACGGAGGGGACACACGGACATGAGGATATCACGGACACGAGGACACACGGACATGGAGGCACACGGACATGGGGGACACACGGACATGGGGACACTACAGACATAGGGACACGGACATGGGGACACACGGACACCGAGACACACCGACACACAGGGACACATGGACACGGGAGAGACACTGGACACGGGGGGGACACACGGACATGGGAGGACACTACAGACATGGGGACACACAGACACAGGGACACACAGACACGGAGGGGACACGGACACGGGGGGACACATGGACATGGGGACTACACGGACATAGGACACACAGACATGGGAGACACACGACACAGAGACACACCGGACACAAGGGACACACGGACATGGGAGACACGGACACGGGGGGGACACATGGACATGGGGGACACACGGACATGGGGACACACAGACATGGGAGACACACGGACACGGGGGGGACACACGGACACAGGGGACACACGGACATGGGGACACGGACACGGGGGGGACACATGGACATGGGGGGGGACACACGGACATGGGGGACACACGGACACGGGGGGGACACACGGACATGGGGGGACACATAGACATGGGGGACACACGGATACGGGGGACACACGGACATGGGGGGGACACACGGACACAGGGGGGACACGGACACAGCAGGGTCAGGGATGGACACACAGACATGGGGACACACAGACACAGGGGGGACACACGGACACGGGGGATGAGGGGGACACACGGACATGGGAGGTCAGGGATGGACACACGGACACAGGGGGGTCAGGGATGGACACACGGACATGGGAGTGAGGATTTAGGGAGCAGATAAAGGGTTTAGGGAACAGAGAGAGGATTTAGGGCCCCAAAGTCAGGATTTAGGGTGGATCCTGTACCTGGAGCCCACTGGGGCTCAGGATTTAGGGTGGATCCCGTACCTGGAGCCCGCTGGGGCTCAGGATTTAGGGTGGATCCCGTACCTGGAGCCCGCTGGGGCTGAGGCTCAGGATTTAGGGAGCAGGGGGAGGATTTATGGGCCTAAAATCAGCCTTTAGGGCTGATCCCGTACCTGGAGCCCGTGGGGGCTGTGGCTCGGGATTTAGGGCCCCCACAGTCAGGCTTTAGGGCTGATCCCATACCTGTAGCCCGTGGGGGCCAGCGCTCAGGATTTAGGGCCCCAAAGTCAGGCTTTAGGGCTGATCCCATACCTGGAGCCCAAGGCTCAGGCTTTAGGGTCCCACAGTCAGGCTTTAGGGTCCCCCACAGTGAGGCTTTAGTGCCGCTCCCGTACCTGGAAGGCGGCGTGCCCGGGCGCGAGGATTTAGGGCCCCAAAGTCAGGCTTTAGGGCCCCAAAGTCAGGCTTTAGGGCTGATCCCATACCTGGAGCCCAAGGCTCAGGTTTTAGGGCCCCAAAGTGAGGTTTTAGTGCCGACCCCATACCTGGAAGGCGGCGTGGCCGGGCACGAGGATTTAGGGCCCCACAGTCAGGATTTCGGGCCCCAAAGTCAGGTTTTAGTGCTGACCCCGTACCTGGAAGGTGCCGTGCCCAGGCGGGAGGATGCCCCGTGCGCTGAGCCGGTTGCCGGCCAGGTCGAGCAGGCGCAGGCGGGGCAGGGTGGCCAGCGTGGCCCAGAGCTCGGGGGCGGCGGGGTCGGCGATGGCGCAGCCGCGAAGCCGCAGCTCCCGCAGTGACTCCTGCAGCCGCAGCGCCCGCAGCAGGGGCAGGACCTGGGGGGCACGCAGGGCCAGCCCACCCCGCACCCCAGAGCGGGGCCCGCGCCCTGCAGCTCCAGCACCTGCGCAGCAGCGGGTGGGGGAGGCTGGGGAAATGAGTGTTGGTGGGTTTGGGGGTGTCTGGGGAGTGGGAGAGCACCCGGGCACTCCGGGATGGGCACTGAGGAGCAGGGAGGGACACCTGCAGCTCCAGCACCTGCAGCAGCAGCAGGTGGTGGGGGCTGGGGGGAAAAGGAGGTGTTGGTGGGTCTGGGGGGTGTCGAGAGCACCCAGGCACCCGGGATGGGCACTGAGGAGCAGGGAGGACACCCTGCAGCTCCAGCACCTGCAGCAGCAGCGGGTGGGAGGCTGGGGGAAAGGGGGTGTTGGTGGGTCTGGGGGGTGCCTGGGGGTGTCTGGGGAGGAGGCACCCCAGGCACCCCTGGGATGGGCACTGAGGGAGCAGGGGAGGAGGACAGGAAGGGAGGGAGGGTCCCGAAGGGGTGGGCAGGGGACAGGGAGGGGACAGGGAGGGGAGGAGGGTCCTAAAAGGGTGGTGGGGGAAAGGGGGCGTTTGGGGGTGTTGGTGGGTCTGGGGTGTCGGAGAGCACCCGGGCACCTGGGATGGGCACTGAGGGGCAGGGAGGGACACCCTGTAGCTCCAGCACCTGCAGCAGCAGCGGGTGGGAGGCTAGGGGGAAAAGGGGGTGTTGGTGGGTCTGGGGGGGTCTGGGGGTCTGGGGAGAGGGAGAGCACCCAGGCACCCCAGGATGGGCACTGAGGGCAGGGTCCCAAAGGGGTGGGGAGGGGACAGGGAGGGGACAGGGAGGGTGCAGGGTCCCTAAAAGGGTGGAGTGGAGGGAAAGGGGGCGTTTGGGGGTGTTGGTGGGTCTGGGGGTGTCGAGAGCACCCCAGGCACCCAGGATGGGCACTGAGGGAGCAGGGAGGGTGCAGGGTCCCCAAAGGGGTGGAGTGGGGGAAAGGGAGGCGTGTGGGGGTGTTGGTGAGTCTGGGGGTGTCTGGGGGTGTCTGGGGAGGGGAGAGCACCCGGGCACCCCAGGATGGGCACTGAGGGAGCAGGGAGGGGACACCCTGTAGCTCCAGCACCTGCAGCACCAGCGGGTGGGGGGCTGGGGGAGAAGGGGCTGTTGGTGGGGCTGGAGGTGTCTGGGGAGTGGGCAGAGCACCCAGGCACCCCAGGATGGGCACTGAGGGAGCAGGGAGGACAGGAGGAGGGAGGAGGGTCCCCAAAGGGGTGGGGAGAGGGACAGGAGGGGACAGGGAGGGGTGCAAGGTCCCTAAAAGGGTGGAGTGGGGGGAAAGGGGGCGTGTGGGGGTGTTGGTGAGTCTGGGGGTGTCTGGGGGTGTCTGGGGAGGGGAGAGCACCCGGGCACCCCGGGATGGGCACTGAGGGGAGCAGGGAGAGGGTGCAGGGTCCCCAAAGGGTGGGTGGGGGGAAAGGGGGCGTGTGGGGTGTTGGTGAGTCTGGGGTGTCTGGGGGTGTCTGGGGGGGAGGGGAGAGCACCCCAGGCACCCCAGGATGGGCACTGAGGAGCAGGGAGGGACAGGAGGGGAGGAGGGTCCCCAGAGGGGTGGGTGGGGGGACAGAGAGGGGTGCAGGGTCCCCAAAGGGGTGGGTGGGGGCTGGGAGAGGACAGGGTCCTCACCCCCACCCAGGGACCCCTGAGACCTCCCCAGGCACCCCCTAATCCTGCTGACACCCCCAGACCAACCAGGGACAGGAGTTTCCCTTGGGAACTGGACCCCTGGGATGGTTCCCAAAGGGACAAGGAAGGGACAGGGAGGGGATGAGGGTCCCCAGAGGGGTGGGCAGGGGACAGGGAGGGGACAGGGAGGGGACAGGGGGTGTCCCCCCTCTCTTTGGGGAGGGTCTGGGGGGTCCTCACCCACTCCCAGGCTCTCACAGGCCCTCTGGTACCGCTGGGGGAGCGGGGGCAGGTCCCAGCCCTGCACCTCTGCCAGCACCTGCAGCCCAAGACCCCAGCCCCAAATCCGTCACTGGGGACACCCCACCCGGACTGGGGGTCCTGGGGCCACTCCCAACCCGAAATGGGGGTCCTGGGACCATCTCCCACCTGGAATGGAGGTCCTGGGACCATCTCCCACCCAGAATGGGGGTCCTGGGGCCAATCCCTACCCAGAATGGGGGTCCTGGGGCCACCCCCCACCCGGACTGGGGGTCCTGGGACCACCCCTCACCCAGATTGGGGGTCCTGGGGGCACCCCCCACCCGGAATGGGGGTCCTGGGGCCACCCCCCACCCAGATTGGGGGTCCTGGGGCCACCCCCAACCCGAAATGGGGGTCCTGGGACCATCTCCCACCTGGAATGGGGGTCCTGGGGCCACCCCCAACCCAGAATGGGGGTCCTGGGACCACCTCTCACTCAGAATGGGGGTCCTGGGACCACCCCCACCCAGATTGGGGGTCCTGGGGCCACCCCTGGCTCAGACTGGGGGTCCTGGGGCCACCCCCCACCCGGAATGGTGGTCCTGGGACTATCCCCAACCCAGAACGGGGGTCCTGGGGCCATCCCCCAACCCAGAACGGGGGTCCTGGGACCATCTCCCACCCGGATTTGGGGTCCTAGGGCCACCCCCCACCCGGAATGGTGGTCCTGGGACCATCCCCAACCCAGAACGGGGGTCCTGGGACCACCTCTCACTCAGAATGGGGGTCCTGGGACCACCCCTCACCCAGATTGGGGGTCCTGGGGCCACCCCCCACCCAGAATGGGGGTCCTGGGGCCACCCCCCACCCAGAACGGGGGTCCTGGGGCCACCCCCCACCCGGATTGGGGGTCCTGGGACCATCCCCCACCCAGACTGGGGGTCCTGGGGCCACCCCCCACCCGGAATGGGGGTCCTGGGACCATCCCCCACCCAGACTGGGGGTCCTGGGACCATCCCCCACCCAGACTGGGGGTCCTGGGGCCACCCCCCACCCGGAATGGGGGTCCTAGGGCCATCTCCCACCCGGAGTTTTCCCGGGAAGCTGCCAGGGCTGCCCCCACCTCCTCGTTGCTCTGCAGGACGTCGCCCACCAGGTCCTGGGGGGCCAGCAGAGCCCCCTCCTTCTTCAGGATGAGCTTGGGCAGCGTCCCCGAGGCCTGGAAGTGCCGCTCGGCAGCGCGATCCGCCAGCCACGACACCGCCCGCGGCTCGCTGGGAACAGGGAGAGAGGGAACAAGAGTGGGAATGGGATGGGGAGAGTGGGAATGAGAGTGGGAATGGGGAGAGTGGGAATGAGAGTGGGAATGGGGATGGGGAGAGTGGGAATGGGAATGGGGAGAGTGGGAATGGGGATGGGGAGAGTGGGAATGGGGATGGGGAGAGTGGGGAGAGTGGGAATGGGGATGGGGAGAGTGGGAATGGGGAGAGTGGGAATGGGAATGGGGAGAGCGGGAATGGGGATAGTGTGGGAATGGGGAGAGTGGGAATGGGAATGGGGAGAGCGGGAATGGGGATGGGGAGAGTGGGAATGGGAATGGGGAGAGCGGGAATGGGGATAGTGTGGGAATGGGGAGAGTGGGAATGGGGAGAGTGGGAATGGGAATGGGGAGAGCGGGAATGGGGAGAGTGGGAATGGGGAGAGTGGGAATGGGGGAGAGAGTGGGAATGGGAATGGGGATGGGGAGAGTGGGAATGGGGAGAGTGGGAGTGGGGAGAGTGGGGAGAGTGGGAATGGGGAGAGTGGGAATGGGAATGGGGAGAGTGGGGAGAGTGGGAATGGGGATGGGGAGAGTGGGAATGGGAATGGGGAGAGTGGGGAGAGTGGGAATGGGGAGAGTGGGAGAGTGGGAATGGGGAGAGTGGGAATGGGAATGGGGAGAGTGGGGAGAGTGGGAATGGGGATGGGGAGAGTGGGAATGGGAATGGGGAGAGTGGGGAGAGTGGGAATGGGGATGGGGAGAGTGGGAATGGGAATGGGGAGAGTGGGAATGGGGGAGAGAGTGGGAATGGGGATGGGGAGAGTGTGGGAATGGGAATGGGGAGAGTGGGAATGGGGATGGGGGAGAGTGGGAATGGGGAGAGTGGGAATGGGAATGGGGAGAGTGGGAATGGGAATGGGGAGAGTGGGAATGGGGAGAGTGGGAATGGGGAGAGTGGGAAGGGGGGGAGAGTGGGAATGGGGAGAGTGGGAAGGGGAGAGTGGGAATGGGGGAATGGCACTGGGAATGGGGGAGAGTGTGGGAATGGGGGGAGATGGCACAGGGAATGGGGGGGATAATGTGGGAATGGGGGGGGGAGAGTGGGAACGGGGAGAGTGGGAACGGGGAGAGTGGGAATGGGGGAGAGTGTGGGAATGGGGATAGTGTGGGAGTGGGAGAGAGTGGAAATAGGGAGAGTGGGAATGGAGAGAGTGGGAATGGAGGAGTGTGGGAATGGGAATGGTGGGAATAGAGTGGGAATGGAGGAGTGGGAATGGGGGGAATGGCACTGGGAATGGGGGAGAGAGTGGGAATGGGGATAATGTGGGAGTGGGAGGGAGTGGGAATGGAGAGAGTGGGAATGGAGAGATTGTGGGAGTGGGGGAGTGTGGGAATGGGAATGGGGGAGAGTGGGAATGGGGGAAATGGCAATGGGAATGGGGATAGTGTGGGAATGGGGGGATAGTGTGGGAATGGGGGAATGGCATTGGGAATGGGGGAGAGAGTGGGAATGGGGATAGTGTGGGAGTGGGAGAGAGTGGGAATGGGGAGAGTGGGAATGGGAATGGGGGGAATAGAGTGGGAATGGGAAGAGAGTGGGAATGGGGGGAATGGCATTGGGAATGGGGGAGAGTGTGGGAATGGGGGAGGAGTGTGGGAATGGGGGGAATGACACTGGGAATGGAGGGAATAGTGTGGGAATGGGGGACAGTGTGGGAACGGGGGGAATGGCACTGGGAATGGGAATGGCATTGGGAGTGGGGTGGGAATGGCCTTGGGAATGGCATTAGGAACTGGGCAGGAATGGCACTGGGAACGGGATGGGAATGCCATTGGGAATGGGGTGGGAATGGCAGGTGGGAATGGGAGGTGGGAATGGGAGGTGGGAATGGCACTGGGAACAGGGTGGGAATGGCACCGGGAATAGGGTGGGAATGGTACAGGGAATGGTACAGGGAATGGTGCAAGAACAGCGCAGGAATGGCACCAGGAATGGGGTAGGAATGGCGTGGGAATGGTGTGGAAGTGGTGTGGGAATGGTGTGGAAGTGGTGTGGGAATGGCATGGGAATGGTGTGGAAGTGGTGTGGGAATGGCACTGGAATGGCATGGGAATGGTGTGGAAGTGGTGTGAGAATGGCATGGGAATGGCGTGGGAATGGTGTGGAAGTGTTGTGGGAATGGCATTGGAATGGCATGGGAATGGTGCAGGAATGGGGTCGGAATGGTTCCAGGAATGGGGCAGGAACAGTACCAGGAATGGGGTGGGAATAGCACGGAAATGGTACAGGGCATGGGAATGGGAACAGGACCAGGAACGGGGGGAGAACGGCCAGGAAGGGCAGGGAATGGCGTGGGAATGGGGTGGGAATGGCACCGGGACACACCGGGGGGGGGGGTCTGGAATCGGGGAGGATCCCCCCACTCACCTCAGGGGCACCGGGATCAGGAAAACGTTGTCCTGGACACGGACACGGACGCGCAGGGTGGGCAGTGGCGCCGGTGGCACCGCTGGACTCGGGGGCACCGCTGGATCCGGAGGCACCGCTGGATCCGGGGCCACCCCTGGATCCGGGATGCTCCCCTCGCCCTCCCCCTCCTGCCCCAGGTCACTCCCGGGCTCCTCAGGGGGCCGGGATCGCCCCGGGGGGACCCTGGGGATCCTCTCCCCTCGGAGCCTCCGCACATCCCGGTTCCTCCTCCTGATCCCGCCGCTCCCAGGACCATCCCGGTTCCTCCTCCTGATCCCGCCGCTCCCAGGCCCATCCCGGTTCCTCCTCCTGATCCCAGGACCATCCCGGGGCTCCCGGCGCGGCCTCTTGCGGGTCCCCCGGGCCCCTCCCAGGTCGTCCTCCAGCCAATCCTCCTGCTCCAGGAATTCCTGGGCGGGGATGAGGGCCGGGAGCGGCACCGCCCGCGGGGCGGGTTTGGAGCTCCCGAGGGCGGGGTTGGCTCCGGCCAGGATGGATTTGGTGCCGCCCAGGATGGATTTGGTGCCGGCCAGGATGGATTTGGCGCTGCCCAAGCTGCGGATGGCGGCTCCCAACTCATCCCCCAGGTCCTCCCCTTGCTCCTGCTGGTTCCCGGCCTCCGGAAGGCAGCGGCGCTTCCTCCCCGGAGAGGAGGGAGAGGAGGGAGAGGAGGGCGAGGAAGGGACATCCCCATTCCCATCCCCATTCCCGGGACGCTCCGGAGGGGACGGCGGAGACTCCGGGATGAGGCACTCGGAGAGCTCCGCGTCGAACAGCGACTCCTGCGACGGCTCTGTGGAAAAATCAAGGAGCTGGTTTTATCCCAAAAGCAAATTAAAATGAACAGAGGGCACTAACAAAAGAACTATTTCTGGATGTTTACTGACTTCTAGGTGTGCCGTGGAGGCTGCAAGGTGAAGGGTCCTATCTGGACCTCTCACCAGGGGATCTTTCGCGGCCGGGAACAGGGAACAAATTATGAATAAAAATCATAGAATCATAGAATCATAGAATAGATTGGCTTGGAAAAGACCTCCAAGATCATCCAGTCCAACCCCTGATCCAACTCTAATTACTATATCATGGCACTAAGGGCCATGTCCAATCTCTTTTTAAAAACTTCCAGGGATGGTGAATCCACCACCTCTCTGGGCAGGCCGTTCCAATGCCTGATCACCCTCTCTGTAAAGAATTTCTTCCCAACATCCAACCTAAACTTCCCCTGGCAGAGCTTGAGCCCATGTCCCCTTGTCCTGTTGTTGGTTACCTGGGAGAAGAGGCCAACCCCCACCTGGCTATAACTTCCCTTCAGGGAGTTGAAGAGAGTGATGAGGTCACCTCTAAGCCTTCTCTTCTCTAGACTAAACAACCCCAGCTCCCTCAGCCTCTCCTCACAGCACTTGTGCTCAACTTCCCCAGCCTGGTTGCTCTTCTCTGGACCTGCTCCAGCACCTCAATATCCTTCCTGAACTGAGGGGCCCAGAACTGAACACAACACTCAAGGTGTGGCCTCATCAGTGCTGATTCCAGGGCAAGGATCCCTGCCCTGCTCCTGCATTCCCCTGTAATCCTCTGTGCCATGTGGGTACACAGAGAGACCCTCCATGCCTTGCAGTGTGGGGATGATGCAAGACCCCCCTGTAGGAGCCCAGGGGAGGTTATGTTACAACCAGCCAAAAAAGATAACACCCACCTCCAAAGCAGAGAAATTGCCTTTTAAAAAGGCAACAAGCGGGCAGTAAAACGAATATTCAACAAACTGACATCAAAGGGCACAAAAAGCGCCGTTTTCAAACAGCAAGGGGTGCTCTTTGCACGACTCAAGGGTGCACCCAGTGCTGGAAACGGGTAAAAATAAAATAAAAAATCTCTTGCTAGATTTCTTTGTCCTGCAGGTATTTTTTTTGGCCGTCTTCAAAATCCCAGAGAAAAAGTAACTTATAACAGCTCCGGGGGGGAAAAAACAGCAGCTCAGAGACCTGCCCAATCACCAGGAGGAGGGGTCTCACCAGGAGGAGGGGTCTCACCGGTAGGAGGGGTCTCACCAGGAGGAGGGGTCTCACCAGGAGGAGGGGTCTCACCAGGAGGAGGGGTCCCACCAGGAGGAGGGGTCTCACCAGGAGGAGGGGTCCCACCACCCCCTGGGTGCCGGGAATGCCGTTTCACCCCACCTGGAGCAGCCATGGCGTCGAGCAGCATCCTCTGCGTGGCTCGGCACTGCAGCCGCGTGTCGCGGTCCAGCTCGGGGCCGTAGGTGCGCGCCCACTCCTGCAGCGTGCCCAGCGGGGTCTGGCCCTGCGGCGGGGGGTCCTGAGGGGTTAGGGGGTTGGGTTTGGGTGGGGGGCAGCGGGGAAGGGGGCAGGGCACCCACCCTGGCGTTGCGGGCGCGCACGGAGGCCCCGCGGCGGATCAGCAGCTCGGCCACCGCGAAGTGGCCGCAGCTCAGCGCGTCGTGCAGGGGGGTGATGCCCTCGCAGCCCGAGCCCCCCGCGTCGTCCAGGGCGGCCCCCGCGTCCAGCAGAGCCTCCACGATCTCTGGGGGGGGGGACACAGAGCTCCTGTGACCCCCTGAGACCCCCTGTCACCCCCAGGGGCTGGGTCAGCCCCCCATCCCACCCCTGTTCAGTCAGAGACCATCCTGAGAAAAAAACAGGGTTGGGGCCATCAGGGGATTTTGCGGGGTCCCCAGGGGGTCTCAGGGGTCCCTGGGTGGGGGGTGAGGACCCCCAGACCCCTCCCTGTCACCTTGGGGACACTTATCCCTTCCTTGTCCCCTCCCTGTCCCCCTGGGAACGTCCTTGTCACCTCCTCATCCCACCCCTGTTCCCTCAGAGACCATCCTGAGAAAAACCCAGGTTTGGGGTCATCAGGGGATTTTGGGGGGTCCCCAGGGGGTCTCAGGGGTCCCTGGGTGGGGGGTGAGGACCCCTAACCCCTCCCTGTCACCTTGGGGACCCTCCTCCCCTCCCTGTCCCCCTGGGAGCATCCTTGTCACCTCCCATCCCACCCCTGTTCAGTCAGAGACCATCCTGAGAAAAAAACAGGGTTGGGGCCATCAGGGGATTTTGGGGGTCCCCAGGGGGTCTCAGGGGTCCCTGGGTGGGGGGTGAGGACCCCTAACCCCTCCCTGTCACCTTGGGGACCCTCCTCCCCTCCCTGTCCCCCTGGGAGCATCCTTGTCACCTCCTCATCCCATCCCTGTTCAGTCAGAGACCATCCTGAGAAAAAACCAGGTTTGGGGCCATCAGGGGATTTTGGGGTTCCCTAGGGGGTCTCAGGGGTCCCTGGGTGGGGGGTGAGGACCCCTGACCCCTCCCTGTCCCCCTGGGAACATCCTTGTCACCTCCTCGTCCCATCCCTGCTCCCTCAGGGACCAGCCCGGGGCAAACCCAGGTTTGGGGCCATCAGGGGGATTTTGGGGGGTCCCCAGGGGGTCTCAGGGGTCCCTGGGTGGGGGAAGTGAGACCCCTGACCCCTCCTGTCACCTTGGGGACCCTCCTCCCCTCCCTGTCCCCCAGGGAGCATCCTTGTCACCTCCTCATCCCATCCCTGTTCAGTCAGAGACCAGCCTGGGGCAAACCCAGCTTTGGGGCCATCAGGGGGATTTTGGGGGGTCCCCAGGGGTCCTAGGGGTCCCTGGGTGGGGGTGAGGCCCCCGACCCTCCCTGTCACCTTGGACACTTATCCTTCCTTGTCCCCCCCTGTCCCCTGGGAACATCCTTGTCACCTCCTCGTCCCATCCCTGTTCCCTAGAGACCATCCTGGGAAAACCCAGGCCTGGGGCCATCAGGGATTTTGGCTGTCCCCTGGGAGCATCCTTATCACCTCCTCATCCCATCCCTGTTCAGTCAGAGACCATCCTGAGAAAAAAACAGGGTTGGGGCCATCAGGGGGATTTTGGGGGGTCCCCAGGGGGTCTCAGGGGTCCCTGGGTGGGGGGTGAGGACCCCTGACCCCTCCCTGTCACCTTGGGGACCCTCCTCCCCTCCCTGTCCCCCTGGGAGCATCCTTGTCACCTCCTCATCCCATCCCTGTTCAGTCAGAGACCATGCCCATGAGGGACAAACTCCAGGTTTGGGGCCATCAGGGGGATTTTGGGGGGTCCCCAGGGGGTCTCAGGGGTCCCTGGGTGGGGGATGAGGACCCCCTGACCCCTCCCTGTCCCCCTGGGAACATCCTTGTCACCTCCTCGTCCCATCCCTGCTCCCTCGGACACTTATCCCTTCCTTGTCCCCTCCCTGTCTCCCTGGGGACATCCTTGTCACCTCCTTGTCCCATCCCTGTTCCCTAAGGGACCATCCTGGGGCAAACCCAGCTTTGGGGCCATCAGGGGGATTTTGGGGGTTCCCCAGGGGGGTCTCAGGGGTCCCTGGGTGGGGGGTGGGGGGAGGTGAAGCCCCTGACCCCTCCCCATTCCCTCCCCTCACTTTGGGGGACCACCCCCTCATTTTGGGGGTCCCCAAAGCACCCCCTCACCGAGGTGCTCGTGGTTGCAGGGGGGTCCCAGCCCCCTCCCCTCCCAATTTGGGGGTCCCCAAGCCCCCTCCCCAATTTGGGGTCCCAGCCCCTCCCCCTCCCCAATTTGGGGTCCCCAGAGCCCCTTCCCCAATTTGGGGTCCCAGCCCCCTCACCGAGGTGGCCGTGGTTGCAGGGGGTCCCCAAAGCCCCTCCCCAATTTGGGGGTCCCTAGAGCCCCCTCATTTTGGGGGTCCCAGCCCCCTCCCTTCCCCCTCCCAATTTGGGGGTCCCAGACCCCCCTCCCCAATTTGGGGGTCCCAGCCCCCCTCACAGAGGTGCCCGTGGTTGCAGGGGTCCCCAATTTGGGGTCCCAGCCCCTCACCGAGGTGCCCGTGGTTGCAGGGGTCCCAGCCCTCTCCCCTCCCCCTCCCCAATTTGGGGTCCCAGCCCCTCACCGAGGTGCCCGTGGTTGCAGGGGGTCCCAGCCCCTCCCTCCCCAATTTGAGGGTCCCAGCCCCCCTCACCGAGGTGCCCGTGGTTGCAGGGGGATCCAGGACCCCAGACCCTCCCCTCCCCAATTTGGGGTCCCAGCCCCCTCACCGAGGTGCCCGTGGTTGCAGGGTGGTCCCAGCCCCCTCCCCTTTCCCCCTCCCCAATTTGGGGGTCCCCAAAGCCCCCTCACCGAGGTGCCCGTGGTTGCAGGCCTCGTGCAGGGGGTCCATCCGCAGTAATCCGGGGTTCACGGGGTGACCCTGGGAAAGGGGGACCCCACCCCATTGAGGGGGGGTAGGGCAAGGGGGAGACCCCACCCCCCTTTTTGGGGTGCCAGGAGAGACCCCCTCCCCCCCATTTCTGTACCCCGACCCATTTTTTGGGGGTGTCAGGGGGGACCCTCCCACCCCGGGGGGTGTCAGGGAAAGGGGAGGGGTCTTTGGGGTTTTGGGGGGGGGTTTCAGGGAACCCCATGATTTTTGGGGACCCCTCCCCACCTTGGTGGGTGTTGTTTGTATTTTGGGGGACCCACTCTGCAGGTTTTGGGGGGATTTCAGGGACCCCCTCAGTGGGTGTTGGGAAAAAGGGGGCTTTGGGATTTAGAGACACCCCGGTTTTGGGCAGGGATTTTGAGGACACCCCCTGTTTTTGGGCATGGATTTTGGGACCCCCGGGTTTGGGCAGGGATTTTGGGGACACCCCTGTTTTGGGCATGGATTTTGGGACCTCTGGGTTTGAGGCATGGATTTTGAGGACACCCCCCCTGTTTTTGGGCATGGATTTTGGGGACCCCCCCCGGGTTTTGGGCAGGGATTTTGGGGACCCCCTCACCCCTCCCTGGGTTTTGGGAACCTCCCTGAATTCTGGGGGGATTTTGGGGACCTCCCTCAGGTTTAGGGGAATTTTGGGGACCCCCCCTCCCTTGGGTTTTGGGGGTACTTTGAGGACCAGGGATGGGTTCTGAGGGTCCCCCCTGGGCTCAGGGGGGCGTTTTTGGGGTCCCCCTGAGTTCAGGGGTGTTCTGGGGTGTCCCCTGGGTTTAGGGGTGTTTTTAGGGTGCCCCCCTGGGCTCAGGGGAGTTTTTGGGGTCCCCCTGAGTTCAGGGGTGTTCTGGGGTGTCCCCTGGGTTTAGGGGTGTTTTTAGGGTGCCCCCCTGGGTTTAGGGGTGTTTTTGGGGTCCCCCTGGGTTTAGAGGGCATTCTGGAGTGTCCCTTGGGCTCAGGGGTGTTTTTGGGGTGCCCCCCTTGGGTTTAGGGGTGTTTTTGGGGTCCCCCTGGGCTCAGGGGTGTTTTTGGGGTGCCCCCCTTGGGTTTAGGGGTGTTTTTGGGGTCTCCTGGGTTCAGGAGAGTTTTTGGGGTCCCCCTGGGTTCAGGGGTGTTTTTGGGGTCCCCCTGGGTTTAGAGGGCATTCTGGAGTGTCCCTTGGGCTCAGGGGTGTTTTGGGAGCTGCCCCTTGGGTTTAGGGGTGTTTTTGGGGTCTCCTGGGTTCAGGAGAGTTTTTGGGGTCCCCCTGGGTTCAGGGGGCATTCTGGGGTGTCCCTTGGGTTTAGGGGTGTTTTTGGGGTGCTCTCCTGGGTTCAGGAGAGTTTTTGGGGTCCCCCTGGGCTCAGGGGGCTTTCTGGGGTGCCCCCTGGGTTCAGCAAATGTTCTGGGGTGCCCCCTGGGTTTAGGGGTGTTTTTGGGGTGCCCCTTGGGCTCAGGGGGTATTTCTGGGTTGCTCAGGGGGTATTTTTGGGGTGCTGGGGGGTATTTTTGGGGTCCCTCTGAGTCCAGGGGATGTTTCTGGGGTGCTGGGGGGTATTTTTTGGATGCTGGGGATGTTTTTGGGGTGCTGGGGGTTATTTTTGGGGGTCCCTCTGAGTCCAGGGGGTATTTCTGGGGTGCTGGGGGTTGTTTTTGGGGTGCCCCTGAGCTCAGGGGTATTTCTGGGGTTCCGGGGGTATTTTTGGGGTCCCTCTGAGTCAGGGTGTTTCAGGAGTGCTCAGAGGGTGTTTCTGGGGTGCTGGGGGGTATTTTTGGGGTCCCTCTGAGTCCAGGGGGTATTTCTGGGGTGCTGGGCGGTGTTTCCGGGGTGCTGGGGGGTATTTTTGGGGTGCCCCTGAGCTCAGGGGGTATTTCTGGGGTGCTCAGGAGTTATTTGTGGGGTGCTGAGGGTGTTTCTGGGGTGCTGAGGGATGTTTTTGGGGTGCTGGGGGTTATTTTTGGGGGTCCCTCTGAGTCCAGGGGGTATTTCTGGGGTGCTGGGGGGTGGTTTTGGGTTGCTCAGTGGGTGTTTCTGGGTTGCTCAGGGGTATTTTTGGGGTGCTGGGGGTTATTTTTGGGGGTCCCTCTGAGTCCAGGGGGTGTTTCTGGGGTGCCCTCTGAGTCCAGGGGTATTTCTGGGGTCCTGGGGGATGTTTTTGGGGTACCTGGGGTTATTTTTGGGGTTCCCCCACGCACCTGGCTAGGTAGAGGCGCGCCCTGTGCAAGTGTATTTTTGGGGTCCTGGGGGGTATTTTTGGGGTGCTGGGGGGTATTTTTGGGGTACCTGGGGTTATTTTTGGGGTACCTGGGGGTATTTTTGGGGTACCTGTGGGTATTTTCGGGGTTCCCCCACTCACCTGAGCGAGGTAGAGGCGTGCCCTGTGCAGGTGTATTTTTGGGGTGCTGGGGGTATTTTTGGGGTGCTGGGGGTATTTTTGGGGTGCTGAGGGATATTTTTGGGGTCCTGGGGGGTGGTTTTGGGGTACCTGGGGTTATTTTTGGGGTTCCCCCACTCACCTGAGCGAGGTAGAGGCGCGCCCTGTGCAGGTGTATTTTTGGGGTGCTGAGGGATGTTTTTGGGGTGCTGGGGGGTATTTCCGGGGTACTGGGGGTATTTTTGGGGTGCTGGGGTTATTTTTGGGGTTCCCACTCCACGATGAGCGAGGTAGAGGCGCGCCCTGTGCAGGTGTATTTTTGGGGTACCTGGGGGTATTTCTGGGGTCCTGGGGGTGTTTTTGGGGTGCTGGGGGTATTTTTGGGGTGCTGGGTGGTATTTTTGGGGTACCTGGGGATGTTTTTGGGGTGCTGGTGGATGTTTTTGGGGTGCTGTGGGGTATTTTTGGGGTGCCCCCACGCACCTGAGCGAGGTAGAGGCGCGCCCTGTGCAGGTGTATTTTTGGGGTGCTGGGGGTATTTTTGGGGTACCTGGGGGGTGGTTTTGGGGTGCTGTGGGGTATTTTTGGGGTGCCCCCACGCACCTGAGCGAGGAAGAGGCGCGCCCTGTGCAGGTGTATTTTTGGGGTACCTGGGGATATTTTTGGGGTCCTGGGGGTATTTCTGGGGTACCTGTGGGTTATTTTTGGGGTTCCCCCACCCACCTGAGCGAGGTAGAGGCGCGCCCTGTGCAGGTGTATTTTTGGGGTGCCTGGGGGTATTTTTGGGGTACCTGGGGTTATTTCTGGGGTTCTGGGGGTATTTCTGGGGTACCTGGGGTTATTTTTGGGGTTCCCCACTCACCTGAGCGAGGTAGAGGCGCGCCCTGTGCAGGTGTATTTTTGGGGTGCCTGGGGGTATTTCTGGGGTGCCTGGGGGTTATTTCTGGGGTTCTGGGGGTATTTCTGGGGTACCTGTGGGTATTTTTGGGGTTCCCCCACTCACCTGAGCGAGGTAGAGGCGCGCCCTGTGCAGGTGTATTTTTGGGGTGCTGGGGGGTATTTCCGGGGTACTGGGGGTATTTTTGGGGTCCTGTGGGATGTTTTTGGGGTACCTGTGGTTATTTTTGGGGTTCCCCCACTCACCTGAGCGAGGTAGAGGCGCGCCCTGTGCAGGTGTCCCTCGATGCAGGCTCGGTGCAGGGGGGTCTCGCCCCGCTCGTTCCGGCGGTTCCACTGCGGCCACGGGGGGGGGGCAGAGACATTGGGGGACCCCCACCCACTTTGGGGGTGCTCAGAGACCCCCCCCAACCCCTTCTGGGGGGGGGAACAGGGAGGACCCCACCCCATCTTTGGGGTGCCCGGGGAGAGACCCCCACCCGCTTTTTAGGGGGGGAAGGGGAGGACAAGACACCCCCTCCCCATTTTGGGGGTCCCTCCACACATTTTGAGGGGCTCAGGGGGTCCCTCTCCACATTTTGGGGGGCTCTGGGGGTCCCTCACACATTTGGGGGTTTCTGGGGTCCCTCCACACATTTGGGGGCTCTGGGGGTCCCCCACACATTTCGGGGGCTCAGGGGGTCCCTCCACACATTTTGGGGGGTTCTGGGGGTCCCTCCACAAATTTGGGGGGCTCTGGGGGTCCCTCCACACATTTTGGGGGGTTCTGGGGGTCCCTCCACACATTTTGGGGGGCTCTGGGGATCCTTCCACACATTTTGGGGGGTTCCCTCCACAAATTTGGGGGGCTCTGGGGGTCCCTCCACAAATTTGGGGGGTTCTGAGGGTCCCTCCACAAATCTGGGGGGGCTCTGGGGGTCCCTCCCCACATTTTGGGGGGCTCTGGAGGTCCCTCCCCACATTTTGGGGGGTTCTGGGGGTCCCTCCACAAATTTGGGGGGCTCAGGGGGTCCCCCCCACATTTTGGGGGGCTCAGGGGGTCCCACCTTGTTGATGCGGCGCCTCCCGGGGACGCTCTTGGGGTACCCCTCGAGTTCCTCGTCCTCCCCCTCTGGGAGAGACCCCCCCCCAAAAATCCACCTCAGATCCCCCTCAGGGACCCCCAAAATCAACCTCAAATCCCCCCAGATCCCCCTCAGGGACCCCCAAAATCCACCCCAAATCCCCCCAAATCCCCCACAGGGACCCTCAAAATCCACCCCAAATTCCCCTCAGGGACCCCAAAATCAGCCCTAAATCCCCCAGATCCCTCAAATCCCCCTCAGGGACCCCCAAAATCCACCCCAAATCCCCCCAGATCTCCCAAATCCCCCTCAGGGACTCCCAAAATCCACCCTAAATCCCCCCAGAACCCCCTCAGGGACCCTCAAAATCCACCCCAAATCCCCAGATCTACCTCAGGAACCCCAAAATCAACCCCAAATCTCCCCAAATCCCCCCAATCCCCCTCAGGGACCCCCAAAATCAACCCCAGATCCCCCAAATCCCCCAAAGGGATGCCCAAAATCCACCCCAAATCCCCCCAGATCCCCCTCAAGGGACCCCCAAAAATCAACCCAAATCCCCCAGATCCCCCAATCCCCCTCAGGGACCCCAAAATCCACCCCAAATCCCCCAGGGACCCTCAAATTCCCCTAAATCCCCCAGGGACACTCAAATTCCCCTAAATCCTCCAGGGACCCCAAAATCCACCCCAAATCCCCCAGGGCCCCTCAAAATCCACCCTAATCCTCCTTAGAGACACTCAGGGCCCCTTAATCCCCAGGGACCCCAAAATCCACCTAATCTAAGGGACCCCAACCCCCTCAATCCCCAGGGACCCATAAATCCTCCTAAATCCTCCCAGGGACCCCAAAATCACCCCTAATCCCCAGGGACCCCAAATCCCCTAAATCCTCAGGGACCTCAAATTCCCCTAATTCCCCAGGGACCCTCAAATCCCCTAAATCCTCCCAGGGACCCTCAAATTCCCCCTAATTCCCCCAGGGACCCTCAAATGTCCCCTAAATCCTCCCAGGGACCCTCAAATCCTCCCTAAATCCTCCCAGGGCCCCCTGAAATCCCTCCAGGGACCCTCAAGTCCCCCCGGGATCCTCCCAGGGACCCTCAAATCCTCCCTAAATCCTCCCAGGGACCCCCAAAATCCACCCCTAATCCCCACAGGGACACTCAGGGCCCCTAAACCCCCAAGGACCCTCAAATCCCCCTTAATTCTCCCAGGATCCCAAAATCCACCCCTAATTCCCCCCAGGGACCCTCAAATCCCCCCTAAATCCTCCCAGGGACCCCCAAAATCCACCCCAAATCCCCCCAGGGCCCCTCAAAATCCACCCCTAATCCTCATAGAGACACTCAGGGCCCCCTAAATCCCCCAGGGACCCTCAAACCCCCTAAATCCCCCAAGGACCCCCAAATCCACCCCTAATCCCCAGGGACCCTCCAAATCCTCCCTAAATCCCCCAGGGACCCCCAGATCTTCCCTTGACCCCCAAATCCTCCCAGGGACCCCCCAAATGCCCCCTCACCGCTCTCAGACAGCTCCAGCTCACTCTCCTCTTCCTCCTCCTCCTCCTCCTCCTCCTGGGTCTCCTCCTCGTCCTCCTCGTCCTCCTCCTGCCCCTCCAGGGTCCCCCCCAGGGCCTGGAGCTGGGTGAGAGTCCCGGCAGCCCCCTCGGGGTCCCCCCCCTGCAGCTGCTGCGCGTGGAGGAGCCGCAGGACCCGCCTCTGGAGGGGGGGGAGAGGGTCAGGGACCCCAAAACCACCCTAGGGACCCCAAACATCCTCCTGGGACCCCAAAACCTCCTCCAGGGACCCCAAACCCCCTCAGGAGCCACAGGACCCACCTCTGGAGGAGGGGGAGAGGGTCAGGGACCCCAAAACATCCCCCAGACACCCCAAACCCCCGCAGGACCCGCCTCTGGAATGGGGGACGGGGTCAGGGACCCCAAAAACACCTCCAGGGACCCCAAAACCTCCTCCAGGGATCCCCAAACCCCCTCAGGAGCCGCAGGACCCGCCTCTGGAATGGGGGGGACGGGGTCAGGGACCCCAAAACACCCTAGGGACCCCCCAAACATCCCCCCCAGACACCCCAAACCCCTGCAGGACCCGCCTCTGGAGGGGGGGACAGGGTCAGGAACCCCAAAACCCCCTCCAGGGACCCCAAAACCCCCTCAGGGACCCCAAAACCCCCTGGGATCCCCAAACCCCCTGGGATCCCTAAACCCCCGCAGGACCCGCCTCTGGAGGGGGGGACAGGGTCAGGAACCCCAAAACCCCCTCCAGGGACCCCAAAACCCCCTCCAGGGACCCCAAACATCCCCCTGGGATCCCCAAACCCCCTCCAGGAACCCCAATTGTCCCCCTCAGACACGCCAAACATCCCCCCAGACACCCCAAACCCCCTCAGGAACCCCAAACATCCCCCTGGGACCCCAAAACCCCCTCAAGAACCCCAAACATCCCCCTGGGATCCCCAAACCCCCCTCAGGAGCCGCAGGACCCGCCTCTGGAGCAGGGACAGGGACCCAAAACCCCCTCCAGGGACCCCAAACCCCCTCAGGGACCCCAAACATCCCCTGGGATCCCCAAACCCCTCAGGAGCCCCAAACATCCCAAAACCCCACCCCTGGCTCTCCAGGACACCCCAGACCCCTTCAGGACCCCCAGAGCCCACAGGACCCTCTCCCAGACCCCCTTCAGGACCCCCAAACCCCACAGGGACCCCTCCCAGACCCCCAAAAGCCCCTCCAGAGCCTCCTTCAGGACCCCCAGACCCCAAAGAAGCCCCCAGACTCCCCAAAAGCCCTCCAGACCCTCTTCAGGACCCCAAACCCCACAGGGACTCCCCAGAGCCCCAAAAACGCCCTCCAGCAGCCCCCAGTGCCCCCGGCCCCCAAAGAAACCCCTCAGACCCCCATCAGGACCCCAGACCACCCAGAAACCCCTCCCAGACCCCCAAAGCCCCTCCAGACCCCTCTTCAGGACCCCAAACCCCACAGGGACTCCCCCAGAGCCCCCAAAGCCACTCCAGACCCCTTCAGGACCCCAGACCACCCAGTGACCCCCAAAGCCCCTCCAGACCCCTTCAGGACCCCAAACCCCACAGGGACTCCCTCCAGACTCCCAAAGCCCTCCAGACCCCTTCAGGACCCCAGACTACCAGTGACTCCCCAAGACCTCCCAAAAGCTCCTCCAGACCCCCTTCAGGACCCCAAACCCCACAGGGACTCCCCAGAGCCCCCAAAAAGCCCCTCCAGACCCCCTTCAGGACCCCCAGAGCCCCAAAGAAGCCCCTCAAACTCCCAAAGAAGCCCCTCAGACTCCCAAAAGCCCCCCCAGACCCCCACCAGGACCCCCAGAGCCCCCCAAAAAGTCCCCCACCTGCAGGGGGGCGTCCCCGGCGCTCTGTGCGCTCTGCAGGGCCGAGCACAGCGGGGGCAGAACCTGGGCTGGGACACAGCCCCCCTCGGACAGGGCCTGGGCAACCTGGAGCCACAGCCGGCATTCCTGGGAAAAATGGGAATATTGAGGGACACAGCCCCCCTCGGACAGAGCCTGGGCAACCTGGAGCCACAGCCGGCATTCCTGGGAAAAATGGGAATATTGAGGGACACAGCCCCCCTCGGACAGAGCCTGGGCAACCTGGAGCCACAGCCGGCATTCCTGGGAAAAATGGGAATATTGAGGGACACAGCCCCCCTCGGACAGAGCCTGGGCAACCTGGAGCCATGTCCGGCATTCCTGGGAAAAACAATGGGAATATTGGGAATATTGAGGGACACAGCCCCCCTCGGACAGAGCCTGGGCAACCTGGAGCCACAGCCGGCATTCCTGGGAATAACATTGGGAATATTGAGGGACACAGCCCCCCTCGGACAGAGCCTGGGCAACCTGGAGCCACAGCCGGCATTCCTGGGAAAAATGGGAATATTGAGGGACACAGCCCCCCTCGGACAGGGCCTGGGCAACCTGGAGCCATGTCCGGCATTCCTGGGAAAAATGGGAATATTGGGAATGGGAATGAGGGACACAGCCCCCCTCGGCCAGGGCCTGGGCAACCTGGAGCCACAGCCGGCATTCCTGGGAAAAATGGGAATGGGAATGAGGGACACAGCCCCCCTTGGACAGGGCCTGGGCCACCTGGAGCCACAGCCGGCATTCCTGGGGAAAATGGGAATATTGGGATTGGGAATGAGGGACACAGCCCCCCTCGGCCAGAGCCTGGGCCACCTGGAGCCACAGCCGGCATTCCTGGGAAAAACAATGGGAATGGGATTGGGAATGAGGGACACAGCCCCCCTCGGACAGGGCCTGGGCAACCTGGAGCCACAGCCGGCATTCCTGGGAAAAACAATGGGAATAAGATTGGGAATATTGGGAATGAGGGGCACAGCCCCCCTCGGACAGAGCCTGGGCAACCTGGAGCCATGTCCGGCATTCCTGGGAAAATGGGAATAACATTGGGAATATTGGGAATGGGAATGGGGCCTGAGTCACCCTCGGCCATGTCCAGCACTCCTGGGAAAAACAATGGGAATGGGATTGGGAATGGGATTGGGGGTCAGGGATGGGGATCAGGGATTGGGAATGGGGGTCAGGAACTGGGAATGGGATTGGGACTGGGAATGAGGGTCAGGGATTAGGAATGGGGGTCAGGGATTGGGAATGGGGGTCAAGGATTGGGAATGGGGATCAGAGATTGGGAATGGAGAGAATGGGGCAGTCAGGGATTGGGATTGGGATTGGGAATGGAAATGGGGGCATGGGATTGGGGAGAATGGAAGGTCAGGAACTGAGAGTGGGACTGGGAATGGGGGTCAGGGATTGGGAATGGAGAGAATGGAGGGTCAGGAATTGGGAGTGGGACTGGGAATGGGGGTCAGGGATTGGGAATGGGGAGGAATGGAGGTCAGGAATTGGGAGTGGGACTGGGAATGGGGGTCAGGGATTGGGAATGGGGAGAATGGAGGGTCAGGAATTGGGAGTGGGACTGGGAATGGGGGTCAGGGATTGGGAATGGGGAGAATGGAGGGTCAGGAATTGGGAGTGGGACTGGGAATGGGGGTCAGGGATTGGGAATGGAGAGAATGGGGCAGTCAGGGATTGGGATTGGGATTGGGGGCATGGGATTGGGGAGAATGGAAGGTCAGGAACTGAGAGTGGGACTGGGAATGGGGGTCAGGGATTGGGAATGGGGAGAATGGAGGGTCAGGAATTGGGATTGGGATTGGGAATGGGGGCCAGGGGTTAGGAATGAGAGTCAGGGATTGGGAATGGAGGCAATAAGGGGGTCAGGGATTAGGAATGGGGGCCAGGGATTGGGAATGGGGTCAGGAATGAATAATGGGACAGGGAATGGGATCAGGGGCTGGGAATGGGGTCTGGGGTTGGGAATGGGGTCAGGGGTTGGGAATGGGGTCAGGGGCTGGGAATGGGGTCAGGGGTTGGGAATGGGGTCAGGGATTGGGAATGGGGTCAGGGCTGGGAATGGGGTCAGGGGCTGGGAATGGGGGGAATGGAGAGTCAGGAATGAAGAATGGGACAGGGAATGGGGTCAGGGACAGGGAATGGGATCAGGGGTTGGGAATGGGGGGAATGGAGAGTCAGGAATGAAGAATGGGACAGGGAATGGGGTCAGGGCTGGAGCTCAGGAATCGGGAACAGGGGCAATGGGGGGCTCAGGGATTGAGAACAGGATCAGGAACAGGACTGGGGGTCCAGGGATGGGGAAGGGACCCCCCCAGGACCCCCCCCCTCAGTGTTACCTGTGGGGGGTCCCCGGGGTGCAGCTGCAGCTCGAGCCGGTAGTGCTGGACGGCCCGGGAATGGTCCCGGAGATCCCGGAACGTGGTGGCCAACGACTCGTGGATCACGGCCAGCTCCTTCCCCGGCCTGCCCTGCGCCTGGGCCAGGCTCAGCTGCCCCCAGAGACCCCCAGAGACCCCTCCTCAGTGCCGGGGACCACCCAAGACCCCCCAGAGAGCCCCCAAACCACCCAGAGACCCCCCCCATGGGTCACAGCCCCAACATCCCCTGCGCCTGGGCCAGGCTCAGCTGCCCCCAGAGACCCCCAGAGACCCCTCCTCAGTGATGGAGACCCCCAGAGACCCCCCCTCAGTGATGGGGACCACCAGAGACCCCAGAGACCCCTCTCAGCACTGGGGACCCCCAGAGACTCCCCATGGGTCACAGCCCCAACATCCCCTACGCCTGGGCCAGGCTCAGCTGCCCCCACAGACCCCTCCTCAGTGCCAGGGACCCCAGAGACCCCCTCAGTGAGTGAGACCCCAGAGACCACCCAAACCACCCAGAGACCCCCTCAGTGCCAGGGACCCCCAAACCACCCAGAGACTCCCCATGGGTCACAGCCCCAACATCCCCTGCGCCTGGGCCAGGCTCAGCTGCCCCCAGAGACCCCCAGAGACCCCTCCTCAGGGATGGGGACCCCCAGAGACCCCCCAGAGACCCCCTCAGCACTGGGGACCCCCAGAGACCCCCATGGGTCACAGCCCCAACATCCCCTGCGCCTGGGCCAGGCTCAGCTGCCCCCAGAGACCACCAGAGACCCCTCCTCAGGGATGGGGACCACCCAGAGACCACCCCTCAGGGATGGGGACCCCAGAGACCCCCAAATCACCCAGAGACCCCCCCATGGGTCACAGCCCCAACATCCCCTGCGCCTGGGCCAGGCCTCAGCTGCCCCAGAGACCCCCACTCAGGGATGGGGAACCCCAGAGACCCCCAGAGACCCCCAAACCACCCAGAGACCCCCCAAACCACCCAGAGACCCCCCAAACCACCCAGAGACAGGGATGGGGACCCCCCAAACCACCCAGAGACCCCCCATGGGTCACAGCCCCAACATCCCCTGCGCCTGGGCCAGGCTCAGCTGCCCCCAGAGACCCCCCAGAGACCCCCCCTCAGTTCCAGGGACCCCCCAGAGACCCCCCAGAGACCCCCTCAGTCTCCAGGGACCCCCAGAGACCCCTCCTCAGTGATGGGACCACCCAGAGACCCCCTCAGTTCCAGGGACCCCCAGAGACCCTCCTCAGGGATGGAGACCCCCAGAGACCCCCCTCAGTGACTGGGACCCCAGAGACCCCCTCAGTGATTGGGACCCCCAGAGACCACCCCTCAGTGATGGGGACCCCTAGAGACCCCCCAGAGACCCCCTCAGTGCTGGGGACCCCAGAGACCCCCCTCAGCTCTGGGGACCTCCAGAGACCCCCTCAGTGCTGGGGACCCCCAGAGACCCCCTCAGTTTCAGGGACCCCAAGACCCCCCGGGTCACAACTCTGGGAATGCCAGCCCAGAAACTCCCAGGGACCCCCAGACACCCTCAAGGACCACCCTAAAAGCACCCCAAAAAAGTCCCCTAGACCCCCCAACCCCACTCCCTTAGAGCCCACAAAAGGCACTCACTTCACACCCCAAAAAGCCCCTCAGAGCCCCCAAAAAAACAACCCCAGGACCTCCAAAGCCCTCCCTGGACCCCAAAGAGCCCCATCCGACCCCCAAAACCCCCCAGACCCCCAAAAGCCCCCAAACCCCCAAAAGCCCCTCGACCACCCCAAAGCCCCCAGACCCCCAAAAGCCCCTTAAACCCCCCAAAGCCCCCCAAAAGTTCCCCAGACCCCCAAAGCCCCTCAGACCCTCAAAAAGCCCCTTAAACCCCCCAAAGCCCCCCAGATCACCCCAAAGCCCTCAGACCCCTCAAAAGCCCCCTAAACCCCCAAATCCCCCAGACCACCCCAAAAGCCCCCCAGACCCCCAAAGCCCCCAGACCCCAAAAGCCCCATAAACCCCCAAAGCCCCCCAGATCCCCAAAGCCCCTCAAACCCCCCAAAGCCCCCAAAGTTCCCCAGACCCCCAAAGCCCCCCAGACCCTCAAAGCCCCCAGACCCTCCAAAGAGCCCCATAAACCCTCCATAAAGCCCCTCCAGACCCCCAAAAAGCCCCTCCAGACCCCATAAAGCACCCCCAGACCCCCCAAAAGCCCCCAGACCACCCCAAAGCCCCCAGACCCCCAAAAGCCCCTCAGAACCCCCAGACCCCCACTAAACCCCCTAGACCCTCCAAAGCCCCCCCAAAGCCCCTTAAAGCCCCCCAGCCCCCCACCTGTCTCTGGTAGTGCTGCAGGGCCCGTGGGAAGTCCCCGTGGCGGGCGAAGGTGTCCCCGAGCTGCTCACACAGGGACACCCCTGACGGGTCACCCGGGGCCACCCGCGACAGGGACAGCGACAGCCGCGTCACCCGCGTGGCTGGGGGGACATGGGACTGTCAGGGACATGGGGGGGACATTGGGGACAGTCAGGGACACTGGGGACAGTCAGGGACACTGGGGACACTGGGGACAGTCAGGGACATGGGGGGACAGTCAGGGACACTGGGGGACACTGGGGACAGTCAGGGACATGGGGGGACAGTCAGGGACATTGGGGACAGTCAGGGACATGGGGGACACTGGGGACAGTCAGGGACATGGGGGGACACTGGGGACAGTCAGGGACACTGGGGACAGTCAGGGACACAGAGGGGACACTGGGGACAGTCAGGGACACTGGGGACAGTCAGGGACAACCAGGGGACACTGGGGACAGTCAGGGACAGGGCCAGCGACAGCCGCGTCACCCGGGTGGCTGGAGGACAGGGGGACAGTCAGGGGACATTGGGGACAGTCAGGGACAACCAGGGGACATTGGGGACAGTCAGGGACAGGGACAGCGACAGCCGCGTCACCCGTGTGGCTGGGGGACAGGGGGACAGTCAGGGACAACCGGGGACAGTCAGGGACACTGGGGACAGTCAGGGACACTGGGGACAGTCAGGGACACTGGGGACAGTCAGGGGACACTGGGGACAGTCAGGGGACACTGGGGACAGTCAGGGACACTGGGGACAGTCAGGGACAGGGACAGCGACAGCCGCGTCACACGCGTGGCTGGGGGACAGGGGGACAGTCAGGGACAACCAGGGGACACTGGGGACAGTCAGGGACACAGGGGACAGTCAGGGACACTGGGGACTGTCAGGGACATGGGGGGGACATTGGGGACAGTCAGGGACACTGGGGACAGTCAGGGGACATTGGGGGGGGACACTGGGGACAGTCAGGGACACTGGGGACAGTCAGGGACACTGGGGGACACTGGGGACAGTCAGGGACATTGGGGACAGTCAGGGACATTGGGGACAGTCAGGGGACATTGGGGGACACTGGGGACAGTCAGGGACATTGGGGACAGTCCAGGGACATGGGGGGGACATTGGGGACCACCCGCGCCAGGGACAGCGACAGCCGCGTCACTCGCGTGGCTGGGGGACATTGGGGACAGTCAGGGGACACTGGGGACAGTCAGGGACATGGGGGACATCCAGGGACATTGGGGACATCCAGGGACAGGGACAGTGACAGCCACGTCACCCACATGGCTGGGGGGACACGGGGGACAGTTGGGGGACATTGGGGACAGTCAGGGACAGTCAGGGACAGCTGAAGGGGTTGGGGACACCTTGGTGGGACATTGGGGACAGGGACAGTGACAGGTGGGTCACCCGGGTGGTTGGGGGGACAGGGACAGTCGGGGACATCTGAGGGGGTTGGGGACACCTTGGTGGGACAGGGACAGTGACAGGTGGGTCACCCAGGTGACTGGGGGGACAGGGACAGTCGGGGACAGCAGGAGGGGTTGGGGACACCTTGAGGACAGCGGGGACACCGTGGGGACACCTTGGTGGCTGTGGGGACACGGCACATTGGGGACAGACGGGGGGACAGTGGGGACACGCTGGGGGACAGTGGGGACACCCTGGGGGAGCTGGGGACACGGGGGAGCTGGGGACACCTCAGGGGATGGGGACACCCCCTCAATGTCCCTGCTGTCCCCAACATCCCCCCGTGTCCCCCTGTCCCTGTGTCCCCTCAGTGTCCCCTCAGTGTCCCCAGTGTCCCCAGTGTCCCCCCAAATGTCCCCTCAGTGTCCCCCCAGTGTCCCCCAGTGTCCCCCCAGTGCCCCCCCAGTGTCCCCCAGTGTCCCTCATGTCCCCCTCATGTCCCATCACATTCCCTGGTGTCCCCCCTGCTGTCCCCTCCCATATCCCCCCTCCCGATGTCCCCTGTCCCCCACAACATCCCTGTGTCCCCCTGTCCCCAATGTCCCCCCAGTGTCCCCCAGTGTCCCCCAGTGTCCCCAGTGTCCCCTCAGTGTCCCCTCAGTGTCCCCTCAGTGTCCCCAGTGTCCCCTCATGTCCCATCACATTCCCTGAGTGTCCCCTGCTGTCCCCTCCCATATCCCCCTCCCATGTCCCCTGTCCCCACAACGTCCCAGTGTCCCCCCATGTCCCCAGTGTCCCCCAAATGTCCCCTCAGTGTCCCCCTCAGTGTCCCCCAGTGTCCCCAGTGTCCCCCAGTGCCCCCCCAGTGTCCCCCCAGTGTCCCCCAGTGTCCCCAGTGCCTCCCCAGTGTCCCCCAGTGCCCCCAGTGTCCCCAGTGTCAGTCCCCAGTGTCCCCCAAATGTCCCCCAATGTCCCCCAGTGTCCCTCAGTGTCCCCCCAGTGTCCCCAGTGTCCCCAGTGTCGTCCCCAGTGTCCCCCAATGCCCCCAGTGTCCCCCCAGTGTCCCCAGTGTCCCCCAGTGTCCCCAGTGTCCCCAGTGTCCCCAGTGTCCCCAGTATCCCCAGTGTCCCCAGTGTCCCCAGTGTCCCCAGTATCCCCAGTGTCCCTAGTGTCCCCCAGTGCCCCCAGTGTCCCCCCAGTGTCCCCCCAGTGTCCCCAGTGTCCCCTCAGTGTCCCCCAGTATCCCCAGTGTCCCCAGTGTCCCCCCAGTGTCCCCCAATGTCCCCCAATGTCCCCCAGTGTCCCCAGTGTCCCCCAGTGTCCCCAGTGTCCCCAGTGTCCCCAGTGTCCCCAGTGTCCCCAGTGTCCCTCAGTGTCCCCCAGTGTCCCCAGTGTCCCCAGTGTCCCCATGTCCCCCAGTATCCCCAGTGTCCCCCAGTGTCCCCCAGTGTCCCCAGTGTCCCCCCAGTGTCCCCCCAGTATCCCCAGTGTCCCCAGTGCCCCCCCAGTGTCCCCCCAATGTCCCCAGTGTCCCCAGTGTCCCCAGTGTCCCCCCCAGTGTCCCCAGTGTCCCCAGTATCCCCTGACCGTATCTGAGGTGGTCCCGGATGAGCTGGAGCTGCCGGGGGGGGACGGAGCCCTGGGAGCCCAGAGCGTGGGCCTGGCGAAGGGCACGCTTGGCAGCCCCGAAATCCCCCAGGGACAGCAGCACCTGTGGGGACACAGGGACACTCAGGGACCCCAAAATCACACAGAGCACCCTAAAACACCCCAAAATCCCCTCAAAATGCCCTAAAATCCCCCTAAATCAACCCAAAATCCCCCAAATCCCCCAAATTCCCCAAAATCCCCCAAAATCCCCCCAAACTCCCCAAAATCCCCCCCAAAATGCCCCCCAAACCCCCAAAATCCCTCCAAAACCCCCAAAATCCCCCAAAATGCCCCCAAAGCCCCACCTGGGCAGTGCTGCTGCAGCACTCGCTCTCCCAGCCCCCTGTCCCGCAGGATCCGGGCGCATTCCCGAGCCCGGGAGAGGCTCCGGAGAGCCCCGGAATGATCCCCGGCACGCAGGGAGATGTGGCCCAGGTTGAAGTGACCGCGGAAAAGATCCTCCTGCAGCTGGGCCTGCCTGAAAAACACCCCAAAAAAGGGTGAGGGACCCCAAAAACTGAGCTGGGAACCCCAAAAACTGCTGGGAAAGATCCTCCTGCAGCTGGGCCTGCCTGCAAAAACATCCCAAAAAAGGGTGAGGGAGCCCAAAAACTGAGCTGGGAACCCCAAAAACTGCTGGGAAAGATCCTCCTGCAGCTGGGCCTGCCTGCAAAACGACCCCAAAAAGGGTGAGGGAGCCCAAAATCTGAGCTGGGAACCCCAAAAACTGAGCTGGGAACCCCAGAAATGCTGGGAATGGAACTCCTGCAGCTGGGCCTGCCTGCAAAAACACCCCAAAATGGGTGAGGGACCCCAAAAACTGAGCTGGGAACCCCCAAAATCTGGTGAGGGACCCCCAAAAACTGCCTGGAACACGAGGGACAGGGGTGAGGGGACCCCCAAAATCTGGTGTGGGACCCCCAAAAAAACCTGCCTGGAAAAGGGGGAGAGGGGAGTGAGAGACCCCCAAATCTGGTGTGGGACCCCCAAAAACTGCCTGGAACACGAGGGACAGGGGTGAGGAGACCCCCAAAATCTGGTGTGGGACCCCCCAAATCTGCCTGAGAAAGGGGGAAAAGGGAGTGAGGGACCCGCAAACCTGGTGTGGGACCCTCAAATCTCCCTGAAAAAGGGGGAAAGGGGAGTGAGGGACCCCCAAATCTGGTGTGGGACCCCCAAAACTGCCTGGAAAAGGGGGAAAAGGGAGTGAGGGACCCCCAAATCTGGTGTGGGACCCCCAAATCTGCCTGGAAAAGGGGGAAAAGGGGGAAAAGGGGGAAAAGGGGGAAAAAGGGGGAAAAGGGGGAAAAAGGGGGAAAAGGGAGGGAGAGACCCCCCAAAATTGGGTTGGAGCCCCCCCAGAGCGCCCCCCAGCCCCTCACTCGGCCAGGAAGATGCTCTTGCGGATGAAGTGGTGGCACTGCCGGGGGTCCCGCAGCGCGTCGTGCACCAGCCCCAGGTTGAGGTAGAGCCGTGTCCGCATCTCCGCCAGCTCCCGCCGGGACACCGAGCCTGGACACCGAAAACAGGGAGAAAAACAGGGAAAACAACCCCGGAATCGGTAAAAACAACCCCAGAATCCGTAAAAACACACCCAAAATCGGTAAAAACACCCCCAAAATTGGTAAAAACACCCCCGAAATCCATAAAAACATGCCCGAAATTGGTAAAGACACCCCTGAAATTGGTAAAAATACCCCCCGGAATTGGTAAAAACACCCCCGAAATTGGTAAAAACACTCCTGAAATCCATAAAAACATGCCCGAAATTGGTAAAGACACCCCTGAAATTGGTAAAAACACCCCCGAAATTGGTAAAAACACCCACGGAATTGGTAAAAACACCCCCCGGAATCGGTAAAAACACACCCAGAATTGGTAAAAACACCCCTGAAATCCATAAAAACACCACCCGGAATCGGTAAAAACACCCATGAAATCAATAAAAACACCCCCAGAATTGGTAAAAACACCCCCAAAATCCAAAAAACATCCCCGAAATTGGTAAAAACACCCCTGAAATTGGTAAAAACACTCCTGAAATTGGTAAAAACACTCCTGAAATCCATAAAACACCCCCAGAATTGGTAAAAACACCCCCCGGAATTGGTAAAAACACCCCCGAAATCCATAAAACATCCCCGGAATTGGTAAAAACACAACCAAAATCGGTAAAAACACCCCCGAAATCGGTAAAAACACCCCCTAAATCTGTAAGAACACCCCCAAAATTCAAAAAACACCCCCTAAATCGGTAAAAACACCCCCAAAATTCAAAAAACACCCCCGAAATCGGTAAAAACACCCCCAGAATCCATAAAACACCCCCAAAATCGGTAAAAACACCCCTGAAATTGGTAAAAACACCCCCAAAATCCACATTTGGGGTCCCACCGTGGGCTGAGAAACCCCAAAACCCAGTGGGACACCCCAAAACCACTGTGAGACCCCAAACCCTCTGTGAGACCCCAAACCCGCTGTGAGACCCCAAAACCCACCGTGAGACCCAAAATCCACTGAAACCCCCAAAATACATTGACAGACCCCCAAAACCCCCTCCCACACCCATTCCCAGACCCCAAACCCCTCCCATGTCCCCCAGTACCCCCACCTTTCCCAAATCCTCCCCAACCCCCTTCCCAGATCCCAAACCCCTCCCTGCTCTCCCAAACCTCTCCCAACCCCCTTCCCACACCCATTCCCAGACCCCAAACCCCCTCCCACATCCCCTAAACCCCTCCCAACCCCTTCCCACACCCATTCCCAGACCCCCAAACCCCTCGCCTGCTCCCCAAGCCCTCCCACCTTTCCCCAAATCCTCCTCAACCCCCTCCCACATCCATTCCCAGACCCCCAAACCCCTCCCTGCTCCCCTAAACCCCTTCCAACCTCCCCCCAAACCCCCTCCCAACGCCCTTCCACACCCACTCCCAGACCCCAAACCCTCCCACATCCCCCAAACCCCTCTCTGCTCCCCAAACCCTCCCACCCCCCTTCCCAGACCCCAAACCCCTCCTGTGTCCCCCAAACCCTCTCCCACATCCCCTCCAAACCCCTCCCAACCCCCTTCCCACACCCATTCCCAGACCCCAAACCCTCTCCCTGCTCCCCAAACCACTCCCAACCCCTTCCCACACCCATTCCCAGATCCCAAACCCCTCCCATGTCCCCTAATCCCCACCTTTCCCAAACCCTCCCAACGCCCTTCCCAGATCCCAAACCCCCTCCGACATCCCCAATACCCCTCCCAATCCCCTTCCCACACCCAGTCCCAGACCCCAAAGCCCCTCCCATGTCCCCCAGTACCCCCACCTTTCCCAAACCCCTCCAACCCCTTCCCAGATCCCAAACCCCTCCCTGCTCTCCCAAACCCCTCCCAACCCCTTCCCACACCCATCTCCCAGGACCCCAAACCCCTCCCTGCTCCCCTAAACCCCTCTCTGCTCCCCCAAACCCCTCCCAACGCCCTTCCCACACCCATTCCCAGACGCCAAACCCCTCCCGTGTCCCCTAATCCCCACCTTCCCAAACCCCTCCAACCCCTTCCCCACACCCATTCCCAGACCTCAAACCCTCCCACATCCTCCAAACCCCTCTCTGCTCCCCCCCAAACCCCCTCCCACCCCCCTTCCCAGACCCTAAACCCCCTCCCACATCCCCCAAACCCCTCCCCAACCCCCCTTCCCACACCAACTCCCAGACCCCAAACCCTCTCCCGTGTCCCCAAACCCCTCCCAACCTCCCCCAAACCCTCCCAACCCCTTCCTCACATCCATTCCCAGACCCCAAACCCCTTCCAACCTCCCCCCCAAACCCCTCCCAACCCCCTTCCCACATCCATTCCCAGACCCCAAACCCCTCCCACCTTCCCCAATCCCTCTCCTACCTTCCCAAATCCTCCCCAACCCCTTCCCACACCCATTCCCATACCCCCAAACCCCTGCCTGCTCCCCTAAGCCCCTTCCAACCTCCTCTCAAAACCCCTCCCACCCCCTTCCCACACCCATTCCCATACCCCAAACCCCCTGCCTGCCCCCCCAAACCCCTCCCAACCCCTCTCCCACACCAATTCCCAGATCCCAAACCTCCTCCCACGCCCCCAATCCCTCTTCACCTTCCCCAATCCCCCTCCCACCCCCTTGTCCCTCTCCCCGCTCTTTCCCGCCATTCCCGTTATTCCCGGGAATCATCCCCACCTTCCAGCTTCTCCTCCACGATGGCCAGGCTGGTCCTGAAAGCTCCCTCGGCCTCTCTGAGCGCAGCCCCCCCTTCCTGGGTCCCCCCGGGCTGGGTCCCCCCGGGCTGGGACCCCCCGGGCTGGGCCCCCCCGGGCTGGGACCCCCCGGGCTGGGTCCCCCCGCTCTCGGCCATGAACATGAAGGTGCGGCCGATGGTGGCCCAGGCGCGCTGCTGCTCCGTGTGATCCCCCAAATCCTGGGCCAGGGCCAGGTGCTGCCGCTGGTGCTGCCACAGGGACACCCCAAATCCATGGGGAGACACAAAATCCAGGGACAGCCCCAAAACCCCACTGCCAGGAACCCCAAAACTGCTCCCACAGCCCCCAAAACTGCTCCGTGTGATCGCCCAGCTCCTGCGCCAGGGCCTGGTGCTGGGACAAGGACACCCCAAATCCATGGGGAGACACAAAAACTGAGCCCTAACACCCCAAATCCATGGGGAGCCCCAAAAACTGAGCCCTGACACCCCAAAACCCTAAAACCCACTGCCAGGAACCCCAAAACTGCTCTGTGTGATCCCCCAGCTCCTGCGCCAGGGCCAGGTGCTGCCACTGGTGCTGGGATAGCAACACCCCAAATCCATGGGGAGCCCCAAAATCCAGGGACAACCCCAAAACCCCACTGCCAGACCCCCCAAAACTGCTCCCACACACCACAGAACTGCTCCGTGTGATCCCCCAGATCCTGGGCCAGGGTCAGGATCTGCTGCTGGTGCTGGGATAGCAACACCCCAAATCCATGGGGAGCCCCAAAAACTGAGCCCTGACACCCCAAATCCATGGGGAGCCCCCAAAACTGAGCCCTGACACCCCAAATCCATGGGGAGACACAGACACTGAGCCCTGACCCCCAGAAACCCCAAAACCCCACTGCCAGAAACCCCAAAACTGCTCCGTGTCATCCCCCAGACCCACAAACCCCTTCCCAGACTCCCCACATTCAGCAGGAAATGCCCCCAAACCCTCCCAGCCTCCAAACCCTCCCAGCCCCTTCAAACCTCCTCCCAGTCCCCCAAACCCCTTCCAGCCCCCTTCAAACCCCCTCCCAGCTCCTCCAAACCCCATCCCACACTCCCCAAACCCCCTCCCAGCCCCCAAACCCCTCCCAGTTCCCCCAAACCCCTCCCAGCCCCCAAACCCCTCCAGATCTCTCCAAACCCCATCCCACACTCCCCAAACCCCCTTCCCAACCCCCAAACCCTCCTCAGCCCCTAAACCCACTCCCCAGCCTCCCCAAACTCCCTCCCAGCTCCTCCAAGCCCCTTCCCAAACTCCCCAAACCCCCTCCCAGCCCCCTCAAACCCCTCCCAGCCACTCCCAAACCCCCTCCCAATACCTTCCAACCCCCTCCCAGACCCCCAAAAACACCCTCCCAGCCCCCAACCCCTCTTCCCAGCCCCCCCAAATATCCTCCTACAGCCCCCTTAGCCCCCAACCCCCTCCCAGCCCCCCAAATATCCTCCTACAGCCCCCAGCCCCCCAACTCCCCTCCCAGCCCCCCAAATATCCTCCTACAGACCCCAGCCCCCCAAACCCCTTCCCAGCCCCCCTAACACCCTCCCAGACTCCCCAAATGCCCTCCACAGCCCCTAAACCTCCTCTCAATCCTCCAACCCCTCTCAGCCCCCCAAACCCCCTCCCAACCCCATCCCAACCCCCAAACCCCTCCCAGCCCCCTAAACCCCTCCCACACCCCCAAACCTCCTCTCAGCCTCCCCAAACCCCCTCTCAGCCTCCCCAAACCCCTCTCAACCCTCAAAACTCCCCCCAACCTCAATCCCCTCCCAGACCCCAAACCCCCTCCCAGCCCCCTCAAACTCCCCTCCCAGCCCCCAAATCCCCTCCCAGCCCCTCAATCCCCTCCCACACCCTCCAAACCCCTTCCCAGCCCTTCCAAACCCCCTTCCCAGCCCCCCAACCCCTTGTCAGATCCCCCAAACCCCTTCCCACAGCCCCTAAATCCCTCCCAACCCCAAAACCCCCTCCCAGCCCTCAAACCCCCTCCCAGTCCCCCAAATCCTCCTCCCAGCCCCCAAACCCCTGCCAGCCCCCAAATCCCTCCCAGCCCCCAGAAACCCCTTCCCAGCCCTCCCAATCCCTCCCAGCCCCCAAATCCTCCCAGCCCCCAAAACCCCTTCCCAGCCCCCCAAATCCTCTGCCAGCCCCCAAATCCCCTCCCAGCCCCCAAACCCCTGCCAGCCCCGCCGACCTTGAGGGCAGCCTCGTATCTCTCCAGCTCCGCCAGGCGCTCCCGATTTTCCGGTGGGCCCACGGCGCATCCCAAGGATCGCCGGCCCTCCAGCAGCCTCAAGCTCCTCCCTGTGCTCCTCCAGAGCCTCCTCGTAGCGCCCTGGGGGATTGGGGTGGGAGTTACAGCCTGGGGGGCTCCTGAGTGCTGGGATTTGGGGTGGGGGCTCACCCTGGGCGGCCAAGAGCTCCCCGAGGCGGTTGCAGGCGGCGGCGCGTCGCGACATTCCCGGAGAGCAGGGACTTCTCCTTGGATTTCTGCAGCTCTGGGGCGGGGAGGAGTCAGACCCCCTCAGAGGGTCGGGGGTACCCCAAAAGGGGGGTAGGGTGGTGGGGAACCCCCCTTGTCGGGATTCAGGGAGGGGAAAAGGGTCCCACCCCACACCCGGGGAGTTTGGGGTGGGATGGGGATGGGATTGTCCTAAAGAAGGTTTGGGGTGGGATGGGATTGTCCTAAAGAAGGTTTGGGGTGGGATGGGAAAGGGATTGTCCTAAAGAAGGTTTGGGGTGGGATGGATTGTCCTAAAGAAGGTTTGGGGTGGGATGGGATTGTCCTAAAGAAGGTTTGGGGTGGGATGGGAGAGGATTGTCCTAAAGAAGGTTTGGGGTGGGAAGGGGATTGTCCTAAAGAAGGTTTGGGGTGGGATGGGATTGTCCTAAAGAAGGTTTGGGGTGGGATGGAAGGATTGTCCTAAAGAAAGGTTTGGGGTGGGATGGGATTGTCCTAAAGAAGGTTTGGGGTGGGATGGGAAGAGGATTGTCCTAAAGAAGGTTTGGGGTGGGATGGGAAGAGGATTGTCCTAAAGAAGGTTTGGGGTGGGATGGGATTGTCCTAAAGAAGGTTTGGGGTGGGATGGGAAGGGATTGTCCTAAAGAAGGTTTGGGGTGGGATGGGATTGTCCTAAAGAAGGTTTGGGGTGGGATGGGGATTGTCCTAAAGAAGGTTTGGGGTGGGATGGGATTGTCCTAAAGAAGGTTTGGGGGTGGGATGGGATTGCCCTAAAGAAGGTTTGGGGTGGGATGGGAAGGGGATTGTCCTAAAGAAGGTTTGGGGTGGGATGGGATTGTCCTAAAGAAGGTTTGGGGTGGGATGGGATTGTCCTAAAGAAGGTTTGGGGTGGGATGGGATTGCCCTAAAGAAGGTTTGGGGTGGGATGGGAAGGGATTGTCCTAAAGAAGGTTTGGGGTGGGAAGGGATTGTCCTAAAGAAGGTTTGGGGTGGGATGAGGATTGTCCTAAAGAAGGTTTAGGGTGGGATGGGAAGGGATTGTCCTAAAGAAGGTTTGGGGTGGGATGGGATTGCCCTAAAGAAGGTTTGGGGTGGGATGGGATTGTCCTAAAGAAGGTTTGGGGTGGGATGGGAAGGGGATTGTCCTAAAGAAGGTTTGGGGTGGGGTGGGATGGGATTGTCCTAAAGAAGGTTTGGGGTGGGATGGGAAGGGATTGTCCTAAAGAAGGTTTGGGGTGGGAAGGGACTGGATTGTCCTAAAGAAGGTTTGGGGTGGGATGGGATTGGGATTGTCCTAAAGAAGGTTTGGGGTGGGATGGGATTGTCCTAAAGAAGGTTTGGGGTGGGATTGGGGTGGGATTGTCCTAAAGAAGGTTTGGGATGGGAAGGGATTGTCCTAAAGAAGGTTTGGGGTGGGATGGGATTGTCCTAAAGAAGGTTTGGGATGGGAAGGGATTGTCCTAAAGAAGGTTTGGGGTGGGATGGGGATGGGATTGTCCTAAAGAAGGTTTGGGGTGGGATGGGGATGGGATTGTCCTAAAGAAGGTTTGGGGTGGGATTGGGGTGGGATTGTCCTAAAGAAGGTTTGGGATGGGAAGGGATTGTCCTAAAGAAGGTTTGGGGTGGGATGGGATTGTCCTAAAGAAGGTTTGGGGTGGGATGGGATTGTCCTAAAGAAGGTTTGGGGTGGGGTGGGATTGGGATTGTCCTAAAGAAGGTTTGGGGTGGGATGGGATTGCCCTAAAGAAGGTTTGGAGTGGGATGGGAATGGGATTGTCCTAAGGAAGGTTTGGAGTGGGATGGGAATGGGATTGTCCTAAGGAAGGTTTGGTTGGGATGGGATTGTCCTAAAGAAGGTTTGGGGTGGGGTGGGAAGGGGATTGTCCTAAAGAAGGTTTGGGGTGGGAAGGGATTGTCCTAAAGAAGGTTTGGGGTGGGATGGGATTGTCCTAAAGAAGGTTTGGGGTGGGATGGGATTGTCCTAAAGAAGGTTTGGAGTGGGATGGAAGGGATTGTCCTAAAGAAGGTTTGGGGTGGGATGGGATTGTCCTAAAGAAGGTTTGGGTGGGTGGGATGGGATTGTCCTAAAGAAGGTTTGGGGTGGGATGGGAAGGATTGTCCTAAAGAAGGTTTGGGGTGGGATGGGATTGTCCTAAAGAAGGTTTGGGGTGGGATGGGAGGGATTGTCCTAAAGAAGGTTTGGGGTGGGATGGGATTGTCCTAAAGAAGGTTTGGGGTGGGAAGGGATTGTCCTAAAGAAGGTTTGGGGTGGGATGAATGGATTGTCCTAAAGAAGGTTTGGGTGGGATTGGGGATGGGAAGGGATTGTCCTAAAGAAGGTTTGGGGTGGGATTGGGGTGGGATGGGAAGGATTGTCCTAAAGAAGGTTTGGGATGGGGTGGGATGGGATTGTCCTAAAGAAGGTTTGGGGTGGGATGGGATTGTCCTAAAGAAGGTTTGGGGTGGGATGGGATGGGATTGTCCTAAAGAAGGTTTGGGGTGGGAAGGGATTGTCCTAAAGAAGGTTTGGGGTGGGATGGGATTGTCCTAAAGAAGGTTTGGGGTGGGATGGGAAGGGGGGATTGTCCTAAAGAAGGTTTGGGGTGGGATGGGATTGTCCTAAAGAAGGTTTGGGGTGGGATGGGATTGTCCTAAAGAAGGTTTGGGGTGGGAAGGGATTGTCCTAAAGAAGGTTTGGGGTGGGGTGGGATGGGATTGTCCTAAAGAAGGTTTGGGGTGGGAAGGGATTGTCCTAAAGAAGGTTTGGGGTGGGATGGGAAGGGGGGATTGTCCTAAAGAAGGTTTAGGGTGGGATGGGAAGGGGGGATTGTCCTAAAGAAGGTTTGGGATGGGATGGGATTGTCCTAAAAAGGTTTGGGGTGGGATGGGATTGTCCTAAAGAAGGTTTGGGATGGGATGGGATTGTCCTAAAGAAGGTTTGGGATGGGATGGGATTGTCCTAAAAAGGTTTGGGGTGGGATGGGATTGTCCTAAAGAAGGTTTGGGATGGGATGGGATTGTCCTAAGGAAGGTTTGGGGTGGGAAGGGGATTGTCCTAAAGAAGGTTTGGAGTGGGAAGGGAAGGGGATTATCCTAAAGAAGGTTTGGGGTGGGATGGGATTGGGATTGTCCTAAAGAAGGTTTGGGGTGGGATGGGATTGGGATTGTCCTAAAGAAGGTTTGGGGTGGGATGGGAAGGGGATTGTCCTAAAGAAGGTTTGGGGTGGGATGGGATTGGGATTGTCCTAAAGAAGGTTTGGGGTGGGATGGGATTGTCCTAAAGAAGGTTTGGGGTGGGATGGGATTGTCCTAAAGAAGGTTTGGGGTGGGATGGGATTGTCCTAAAGAAGGTTTGGGGTGGGATGGGATTGTCCTAAAGAAGGTTTGGGGTGGGGTGGGATTGGGATTGTCCTAAAGAAGGTTTGGGGTGGGATGGGATTGTCCTAAAGAAGGGTTGGGGTGGGACAGGATTGTCCTAAGGAAGGTTTGGGGTGGGACAGGATTGTCCTAAGGAAGGTTTGGGGTGGGACAGGATTGTCCTAAGGAAGGTTTGGGGTGGGATGGGATTGTCCTAAAGAAGGTTTGGGGTGGGATGGGATTGTCCTAAAGAAGGTTTGGGGTGGGATCCAGGGAATCTCCCCCAGGGATCCAAGGAATCCTCTTAGGGACTTGATGAGCCCCCCCAGGGACATGAGGACCCCCCAAATGTGGGGAGAGAGAACTTGGGGGGGGGAAAGGGGGGGCACTGAACCCCTGTGGGGGGGATTGAGGGACTCCCAGTGGGGGAGATTTGAGCCCTCTGAGGGGGGATTTGATCCCATGGGGGGGCTGAGGGACCCCCGGGGGTGATGAGGGACCCTGGGGGTGTCTGAGGGACCCCCGGGGGGTGTCTGAGGGACCCCTGAAGTGTCTGAGGGACCCCTGGAGTGTCTGAGGGACCCCTGGGAGTGTCTGAGGGACCCCGGGAGTGTCTGAGGGACCCCTGGAGAGTCTGAGGGACCCTGGGAGTGTCTGAGGGACCCTGGGGGTGTCTGAGGGACCCCTGGAGAGTCTGAGGGACCCTGGGGGTGTCTGAGGGACCCCAGGAGTGTCTGAGGGACCCCCGGGGGGTGTCTGAGGGACCCAGGGGGTGTCTGAGGGACCCCAGGAGTGTCTGAGGGACCCCTGGGAGTGTCTGAGGGACTTCAGGAGTATCTGAGGGACCCAGGGGGTGTCTGAGGGACCCCAGGAGTGTCTGAGGGACCCCTGGGAGTGTCTGAGGGACTTCAGGAGTATCTGAGGGACCCAGGGGGTGTCTGAGGGACCCCGGGAGTGTCTGAGGAACCCAGGAATGTCTGAGGGACCCCTGGGAGTGTCTGAGGGACCCCTGAAGTGTCTGAGGGACCCCTGGGCATTGAGTGACCCCTGGAGTGTCTGAGGGACCCCGGGGGTGCCTGAGGGACCCCTCGAGTGTCTGAGGGACCCCAGGGGTGTCTGAGGGATCTCAGGAGTGTCTGAGGGACCCCAGGGCATTGAGTGACCCCGGGAGTGTCTGAGGGACCCCTGGAGTGTCTGAGGGACCCCGGGAGTGTCTGAGGGACCCCGAGTGTCTGAGGGACCCCTGGAGTGTCTGAGGGACCCCAGGAGTGTCTGAGGGACCCCAGGAGTGTCTGAGGGACCCCGGGAGTGTCTGAGGGACCCCGGGAGTGTCTGAGGGACCCCGGGAGTGTCTGAGGGACCCCAGGAGTGTCTGAGGGACCCCTGGAGTGTCTGAGGGACCCCTGGAGTGTCTGAGGGACCCCAGGAGTGTCTGAGGGACCCCAGGAGTGTCTGAGGGACCCCTGGGAGTGTCTGAGGGACTTCAGGAGTGTCTGAGGGACCCCTGGAGTGTCTGAGGGACCCCAGGAGTGTCTGAGGGACCCCAGGAGTGTCTGAGGGACCCCGGGAATGTCTGAGGGACCCCGGGAATGTCTGAGGGACCCCGGGAGTGTCTGAGGGACCCGGGGGGTGTCTGAGGGACCCCTGGGCATTGAGGGGCCCCGGGATTGTTTGTGGGACCCCGGGAGTGTCTGAGGGCCCCCTGAAGTGTCTGAGGGACCCCCTGGAGTGTCTGAGGGACCCCGGGAATGTCTGAGGGACCCCTCGAGTATCTGAGGGACCCCGGGAGTATCTGAGTAACCTCTTGAGTGTCTGAGTGACCCCGGGAGTGTCTGAATGACCTCTGGAGTGTCTGAGGGAGCCCTAGAGTGTCTGAGGGACTTCAGGAGTGTCTGAGGGACCCCTTGAGTATCTGAGGGACCCCTGGAATGTCTGAGTGACCCCTGGAGTGTCTGAGTGACACCTGAAGTGTCTGAGGGACCCCTGGGGGGTCTGAGGGACCCCGGGGGGTGTCTGAGGGACCCCTGGGCATTAAGTGACCCCTGGAGTGTCTGAGTGACCCCGGGGGTGCCTGAGGGCCCCCTGAAGTGTCTGAGGGACCCCTGGGAGTGTCTGAGGGACCCCCGGCCGCGACGAGTCCGCGGCAGCGCCGGGGCCTTTCAAGGCCCCGGCGCTGCCGCGGACTCGTCGCGGCCGGGCCGTGGGGGTCGCTACCCGATCCGCAAGCACTGCCGCTGCCCTCCATCTCCCCGTTTATGCCCATTATCCCCCCGTTTCCCTCCCCCCGGTCCCCGCTCACGGCGCAGCTCCCGCGGCCCCTCCGCGCTCATCGCGCCGCTGCTCCCGCCGCTCGCCTCGGCCCCGCCCACCGCGCCCTCCCATTGGCTGCGCCCGCCCCGCGCCGGCATCCGATTGGCTGAGTGCGAGAGGACGGCGGTTCTGATTGGCCGGCGAGAGGGAGGGACACGCCCCCTGCCGGAGAGGCGGGAACGCGCGGGGCATCATGGGAGGAGTGGCGGAAGTGCCGGCCCGGGCTCCCAGTAACTCCCAGTAACTCCCAGTGCTCCCAGTAACAACTCCCAGTGCTCCCAGCAACGCTAAGTGATCCTAGTAACTACTCCCAGTGCTCCCAGTAACTCCCAGTGATCCCAGTAACAACTCCCAGTGCTCCCAGTAAAAACTCCCAGTAACTGCCAGTAACAACTCCCAATGCTCCCAGTAAATCCCAGTAACTCCCAGTAACTCCCAGTAACTCCCAGTGCTCCCAGTAACAACTCCCAGTGCTCCCAGTAACAACTCCCAGTGCTCCCAGTAACTACTCCCAGTGCTCCCAGTAACTACTCCCAGTGCTCCCAGTACCAACTCCCAGTAACTGCCAGTAACAATTCCCAGTGCTCCCAGTAAATCCCACAAACTCCTAGTAACTACTCCCAGTGCTCCCAGTAACTACTTCCAGTGCTCCCAGTAACTCCCAGTAACTACTCCCAGTGCTCCCAGTAAATCCCAGTAACTCCCAGTGCTCCCAGTAACAACTTCCAGTGCTCCCAGTAACGCTAAGTGATCCTAGCAACAACTCCCAGTGCTCCCAGTAACTCCCAGTAACTCCCAGTAACAATTCCCAGTGCTCCCAGTAAATCCCAGTAACTACTTCCAGTAACTCCCAGTAACAACTCCCAGTGCTCCCAGTAAATCCCAGTAACAATTCCCAGTGCTCCCAGTAAATCCCAGTAACTCCCAGTAACAACTCCCAGTGCTCCCAGTAACAACTCCCAGTAACTCCCAGTAACTCCCAGTAACTCCCAGTAACTTCCAGTAACTCCCAGTAACTTCCAGTAACTCCCAGTAACTACTCCCAGTGTTCCCAGTAAATCCCAGTAACTCCCAGTAACTACTCCCAGTAAATCCCAGTGATCCCAGTAACAACTCCCAGTGCTCCCAGTAAATCCCAGCAACTGCCAGTAACTCCCGGTGCTCCCAGTAACTCCTCCTAGTGCTCCCAGTAACTCCCAGTAAATCCCAGTAACTCCCAGTAACTCCCAGTGCTCCCAGTAACTCCCAGTAACTGCCAGTAACAATTCCCAGTGCTCCCAGTAAATCCCAGTAACTCCCAGTAACTCCCAGTGCTCCCCGTGCCCCCCAGTAGCTCCCAGTGCCCCCCAGTAACTCCTACTGGCTCCCAATACCCTCCAGTACCTCCCAGTAGCTCCCAGTACCCCCCAGTAACTCCCCGTACCCTCCCAGTAACTCCCAGTGCTCCCAGTACCCCCCAGTAGCTCCCAGTATCCCCCACTAGCCCCCCAGTAGCTCCCAGTACCCCCCAGTATCCCCAGTGCACTCCCAGTGGCTCCCAGTATCCCCCAGTAACTCCCAGTGCTCCCAGTACTCCCCAGTGCCTCCCAGTGCTCCCAGTACCTCCCAGTATCTCCCAGTACCCCCCAGTAGCTCCCAGTAGCTCCCAGTACTCCCAGTACCTCCCAGTGCTCCCAGTACCTCCCAGTACCTCCCAGTACCCCCCAGTAGCTCCCAGTACCCCCAGTGCTCCCAGTATCTCCCAGTACCCCCCAGTAGCTCCCAGTACCCCCAGTGCCCCCAGTGCTCCCAGTACCTCCCAGTAGCTCCCAGTACCCCCAGTACCTCCCAGTAGCTCCCAGTACCTCCCAGTACCTCCCAGTAGCTCCCAGTACCTCCCAGTAGCTCCCAGTACCCCCAGTAGCTCCCAGTACCCCCAGTACTCCCAGTACCCCCAGTAGCTCCCAGTACCTCCCAGTAGCTCCCAGTACCTCCCAGTAGCTCCCAGTGCCCCCAGTATCCCCCAGTACCTCCCAGTATCCCCAGTACTCCCCAGTGCTCCCAGTAGCTCCCAGTACCCCCAGTATCCCCAGTACCTCCCCAGTAGCTCCCAGTACCTCCCAGTGCCCCCCAGTGCTCCCAGTATCTCCCACTGACCACCAGCAGCTTCCCAGTACCCCCAGTGCACCCCAGCCCAGTATCCCCAGTACGCTCCAGTTAAAAACTTCAAACCCTTCAAATTTTCACTCAAAAAAAGACCCAACCAATTCAAAGTTTGGTTCAAACCACCCCAAAAAACCTCCAATTTCAGTTTAAAAACCATCAAATTTGGGTTAAAAAGTCCCAACCCCCCCAAACTTTGCTTTAAACCCCCTCTAATTTGGGTTAAAAACCTCAAATTTGGGCTCAAAGGAGACCCAACCCATTCAAAGTTTGCTTCAAAACACCCCAAAAAACCTCCAATTTCAGTTTAAAACCCATCAAATTTTGGTTAAAAAGCCCCAAAACCCCCAAACTTTGCTTTAAAACTCCCTAATTTGGGTTAAAAACCTCAAACCCTTCAAATTTTCACTAAAAAAATGACCCAACAAATTCAAATTTTGGTTCAAAACACCCCAAAAACCTCTGGTTTTGGTTTAAAAACCATCAAATTTTGGTTAAAACGCCCCAACCCCCCCAAACTTTGCTTTAAACCCCCCTAATTTGGGTTAAAAACCTCAAATTTGGGCTCAAAGGAGACCCAACCAACTCAAATTTTGTTTAAAAAGCCCCAACCCTCCCCAAACTTTGCTTTAACCCCCCCTAATTTGGGTTAAAAACCTCAAACCCTTCAAATTTGGGCTAAAAAAAGACCCAACCAACTCAAAGTTTGATTCCAAACCCCTCCAATTTCGGTTCCAAACCCCCCAAATTCTGATTAAAGGACCCCCACCCTCCCAACTTTGGGTCAGCCCCTCCCCAACCCCCAAAAAAAACCCCAAAATTGGAAAAGTGCCCGTTTTATTCTCTAGTAAAGGGCGGTGGCTGCGCCGCCCCACCGCGCCCCAAAACCCCCCCGAGCCCCCCGCGCCCTCCACACCCTCCCAACGCCCCCAACACGGCCCAGGATGCTCCCAGGATCTTCCCGGTGGGATTTCAACATCCCGGGACCTTCTTGTTGGGATTCCACCATCCTGGGACCTTCCCGGTGGGATTCTGAAATCCCAGGGCCTTCCTGTTGGGATTCCACCACCCTGGGACCTTCCTGTTGGGATTCCACCATCCTGGGACACCTCCAGGACCTTCCCGCTGGGATTCCACAATCCTGGGACCTTCCCGTTGGGATTCCACCATCCCAGGACCTTCCTGTTGAGATTCCACCATCCTGGGACCTTCCTGTTGGGATTCCACCATCCCAGGACCTTCCTGTTGGGATTCCACCATCCTGGGACCTTCCCGTTGGGATTCTGAAATCCCAGGACACCTCCAGGACCTTCCTGTTGGGATTCCACCATCCTGGGACACCTCCAGGACCTTCCTGTTGGGATTCCACCATCCTGGGACACCTCCAGGACCTTCTTGTTGGGATTCTGAAATCCCAGGACCTTCCTGTTGGGATTTCAACATCCTGGGACCTTCTTGTTGTGATTCCACCATTCCAGAACCTTCCTGTTGGGATTCCACCATCCTGGGACACCTCCAGGACCTTCCCCTGGGGATTCCACCATCCCAGGATGCTCCCAGGACCTTCTTGTTGGGATTCCACCATCCTGGGACCTTCCTGTTGGGATTCCACCATCCTGGGACACCTCCAGGACCTTCTTGTTGGGATTCCACCAACCTGGGACACCTCCAGGGCCTTCCCCTGGAGCTGCCACCCCTTTGGGTTGGGTTTGAAGCCGTTTCTCGTCAACTTTTCCGTGGTTCCGACACTTTCCCCTTGGGTTTCCGCCGTCCTTTTGATGCTTCCAAGACCTTTCCCATTGGATTTCCAGCAGTTTTGGGTGGTTTTTAAGCCACTTTTGGATGGTTTCAAGACCTTCCCATTGGTTTCCCACCATTTTTTGAGGGTTTCAAGACCTTCCCATTGGTTTCCCACCATTTTTTGAGGGTTTCAAGCCATTCCCGTTGGTTTTCCACCATTTTTTCATGGATTCAAGACCTTCCCATTGGGTTTTCCACCACTTTTTGATGATTTAAAGACCTTTCCATTGGGTTTCCACCACTTTTGGATGATTTCAGGACCTTCCCGTTGGGGGTTTCCACCATTTTTTTGAGGGTTTCAAGACCTTTGTGCTTGGTTTTCCACCATCTTTTCATGGATTCAAGACCTTCCCATTGATTTTCCACCATTTTTTCATGGATTCAAGACCTTTCCATTGGTTTTCCACCATTTTTTCATGGATTCAAGACCTTCCCATTGAGTTTTTCCACCACTTTTTGATGATTTAAAGACCTTTCTGTTGGGTTTCCACTGCTTTTTAAAGGTTTCAAACCACTTTTTTGAGGTTTCAAGACCTTTCCATTGATTTTCCACCATTTTTTGAGGGTTTCAAACCATTCCCATTGGTTTCCCACCATTTTTGTTGATGGTTTCAAGACCTTTCCATTGGTTTTCCACCATTTTTTCATGGATTCAAGATCTTCCCCTTGGCTTTCCACCACTTCTGGATGATTTCAGGATCTCTCCATTGGGGGTTTCCACCATTTTTTCATGGTTTCATGACCTTCCCATTGATTTCCCACCATTTTTTGAGGGTTTCAAGACTTTTCTGTTGGGTTTCCACCATTTGTTGATGGTTTCAAGACCTTCCCGTTGGGTTCCCACCATTTTTTGGTGGTTTCAAGACCTTTCCATTGGTTTTCCACCATCTTTTCATGGATTCAAGACCTTTCCATTGTTGCGTGGGATGGTTTCAAGACCTCTCCATTGGTTTCCCACCATTTTTTGAGGGTTTCAAGACCTTTCCATTGATTTCCCACCATTTTTTGAGGGTTTCAAACCATTCCCATTGGATTTCCCATCATTTTTTGTCACTTTTAGGCCATTTTTCCACACTTTCCACCTATTTTTGATGGTTTCCCACCCTTTTTTGTCACTTTTAGGTCATTTTTTCATGGTTCCAACCTCTTTCTTGATGGTTTCCCACCATTTTTGTCACTTTTAGGTCATTTTTTCACGCTTTCAACCTACTTTTTGATGGTTTCCCACCACTTTTTGTCACTTTCAGGCCATTTACTGGTGCTTCCAACCCATGTTTTGATGGTTTCCCACCATTTTTTGTCACTTTTAGGTCATTTATTAATGGTTCCAACCTATTTCTTGATGGTTTCCCACCATTTTCTGTCACTTTCAAGCCATTTACTGGTGGTTCCAACCTATTTCTTGATTTCCCACCATTTTTTGTCACTTTTAGGTCATTTTTTCATGGTTCCAACCTATTTCTTGATGGTTTCCCACCATTTTCTGTCACTTTCAAGCCATTTACTGGTGGTTCCAACCTCTTTCTTGATTTCCCACCATTTTTTGTCACTTTCAAGCCATTTACTGGTGGTTCCAACCCATGTTTTGATGATTTCCCACCATTTTTTGTCACTTTTAGGTCATTTTTTCATGGTTCCAACCTATTTTTTGATGGTTTCCCACCATTTTTTGTCACTTTCAAGACATTTACTGGTGGTTCTAACACATGCTTTGATGATTTCCCACCATTTTTTGTCACTTTCAAGCCCATTTCAAACCACTCCCCTCGCTTTCCCTACCATTTTATGTCACTTTTAAACCATTTTTTGAGGGTTCCAACCCACTTTTCGATGGTTCCAACCCACTTTTCGATGGTTCCAACCCACTTTTTGATGGTTCCAACCCACTTTTCGATGGTTCCAACCCACTTTTCGATGATTCCAACCCACTTTTCGATGGTTCCAACCCACTTTTCGATGGTTCCACCTACTTTTCAATGGTTCCAACCCACTTTTTGACGGTTCCAACCTACTTTTCGATGATTCCAACCTACTTTTTGATGGTTCCAACCTACTTTTCAATGGTTCCAACCCACTTTTCGATGGTTCCAACCTACTTTTTGATGGTTCCAACCTACTTTTTGATGGTTCCAACCTACTTTTTGATGGTTCCAACCTACTTTTCGACGGTTTTCCCACCACTTCTCCTCGCTTTCAGGCCATTTATTGACGGTTCTGAGCCCTTCCCGCTGGGTCTCCCCCACTTCCTGCTGGCTCCAAGACACCCCACGGGGTTTCCCAACTCTTTGTTGCGTCCCAGCCGTTCTCCGAGGTGGGGTGGGATGGGTGGGGAGGGGAAAAGGGGAAAGGGGGGAAAAGGGAGGGAGGATCCGAGGGGGTCCTTTTTTTTTTATTATTTTGTTTTTTCCCAGTCTCATTTTTGGATTTGGAATATAAAAAGCCGGAGGTTGATGTTTTTGGCCGCCAGCAGTTTGTTACACTCCACCGAGTCGACGATGGGCAGACTGATGGGCAGGGTCCCAGAGTCGACTCAGTTGTTCTCATTGCTGAAGACGAAGTGGTAGATGACGGGGTTGATCTTCACGTCGTCGTAGGGCCCCTCGAGCAGCAGGAAGGAGCATTCCATGGGGGAGTTGATCTTGCTCTTGAGGATGAGCTGGAAGGAGAGCGTGCGCTTGCACGACAGGTTGGGGTTCCTCTCCGAGTCGTTGACCCGCGCCTTGAGCACCCAGGTCTGGTTGAGGACGGTGAGGCGCGGCGTCTCGTAGTACAGCCGCGTGATGAAGTCGTCGGTGCAGGTACGGGCGGAACTGCACCTCTGGGGACACGAGAAACGGGTGGCAGGGGGGACTTTGGGGCACCCACACCACCTCACTGGAGCCCTCACTCCCGACCCCCACCCAAGGAGGGACTAGCGGGGTCTGAAACTAGGGGTGAGGGATCACGGGTCCCAACAGTCCAGGACAGGGACAGGGTTTGTCGGGGTCCAACAGCATTCCAGGAACCATGCTACGGAGCTGGGGGTGAGTGGACATCCCAACGAGGCAGCAGGTCCAAGGGCTTGTCGTGGTCCTAACAGCATTCCAGGAACCTGCTACGAGGCTGAGGGGTGAGGGAGGTCCCAACGGGGACAGGGATCAGAGTTTGCCGCGGTCCTAACAGCATTCCAGGAACCTGCTATGGAGACTGGGGGTGAGGGAGATCCCAACGGGGCAGGGAAGGGTTTGTCGTGGCCAACAGCATTCCAGGAACCGGTGACAGACTCAGCGGGGTCCTAAAACGTTCCAGGAACCAGCAACAGATCCCAGAGGGGCTCAGCGGGGTCCTGAAACGTTCCAGGAACCAGTGACAGACTCAGTGGGGTCCTACAACATTCCAGGAACCATTCCCAGATCCCAGAGGGACTCATTGGGGTCCTAAAACATTCCAGGAACCATTCCCAGATCCCAGAGGGACTCAGTGGGGTCCTAAAACATTCCAGGAATGGAAGGGTGGAGGGGATCCCAAAGGGACTCATTGGGGTCCTAAAACGTTCCAGGAACCAGCAATAGACTCATTGGGGTCCTACAACGTTCCAGGAATCATTCCCAGGTCCCAGAGGGACTCAGTGGGGTCCTAAAACATTCCAGGAACCATTCCCAGATCCCAGAGGGACTCACTTGGGTCCTAAAACATTCCAGGAACCATTCCCAGATCCCAGAGGGACTCAGCGAGGTCCTAAAACATTCCAGGAACCCCCAACGGCTCCCACCAGGCTTTCCCAGGATCCTACAACATTCCAATTTCCTTCTCTGTTTATCTTCCTGTTTTTAAACCCAGCTCCTGGTTCAAACCAGGGATTTACCCCCAGCATTCCAAGAGAAATCCCAACTTCCCTCCCTGCCTGGATCAAACCGGCCCAACCACAACTACTGAGCGGGATTGGGACTGGAAACCCCTCTGGCAGAGCGGGATTGGGATTGGGACTGGAAACCCCTCTGGCAGAGTGGGACTGGGACTGGAAACTCCTCTGGCAGAGCGGGATTGGGATTGGGACTGGAAACCCCTCTGGTAGAGTGGGATTGGGACTGGAAACCCCTCTGGCAGAGTGGGATTGGGATTGGAAACCCCTCTGGCAGAGTGGGATTGGGATTGGAAACCCCTCTGGCAGAGCGGGATTGGGATTGGAAACCCCTCTGGGAGAGTGGGATTGGGATTGGGACTGGAAACCCCTCTGGCACAGCGGGAATAGGACTGGAAACCCCTCTGGCAGAGCAGGATTGGGATTGGGACTGGAAACCCCTCTGGCAGAGCGGGATTGGGACTGGAAACCCCTCTGGCAGAGCGGGATTGGGACTGGAAAACCCTCTGGCAGAGCGGGATTGGGACTGGAAAACCCTCTGGCAGAGCGGGATTGGGACTGGAAACCCCTCTGGCAGAGTGGGATTGGGACTGGAAACCCCTCTGGCAGAGTGGGATTGGGATGGGACTGGAAACCCCTCTGGCAGAGTGGGATTGGGATTGGAAACCCCTCTGGCAGAGCGGGATTGGGATGGGACTGGAAACCCCTCTGGCAGAGCGGGATTGGGACTGGAAACCCCTCTGGCAGAGTGGGATTGGGATTGGGATTGGAAACCCCTCTGGCAGAGCGGGATTGGGACTGGAAACCCCTCTGGCAGAGCGGGATTGGGACTGGAAACCCCTCTGGCAGAGTGGGAATGGGATTGGGACTGGAAACCCTCTGGCAGAGTGGGATTGGGACTGGAAACCCCTCTGGCAGAGCGGGATTGGGATTGGGATTGGAAACCCCCCTGGGAGAGTGGGATTGGGATTGGGACTGGAAACCCCTCTGGCAGAGCGGGATTGGGATTGGAAACTCCTCTGGCAGAGTGGGAATGGGATTGGGACTGGAAACCCTCTGGCAGAGTGGGATTGGGATTGGGATTGGGATTGGAAACCCCTCTGGCAGAGCAGGATTGGGATTGGGACTGGAAACCCCTCTGGGAGAGTGGGATTGGGATTGGGATTGGAAACCCCTCTGGCAGAGCGGGATTGGGACTGGAAACCCCTCTGGCAGAGCGGGATTGGGACTGGAAACCCCTCTGGCAGAGTGGGATTGGGATTGGAAACCCCTCTGGCAGAGCGGGATTGGGATTGGGATGGGACTGGAAACCCCTCTGGCAGAGTGGGATTGGGACTGGAAACCCCTCTGGCAGAGTGGGATTGGGATTGAGATTGGAAACCCCTCTGGCAGAGCGGGATTGGGACTGGAAACCCCTCTGGCAGAGTGGAATTGGGATTGGGACTGGAAACCCCTCTGGCAGAGCGGGATTGGGACTGGAAACCCCTCTGGCAGAGTGGAATTGGGATTGGGACTGGAAACCCCTCTGGCAGAGCGGGATTGGGATTGGGACTGGAAACCCCTCTGGCAGAGCGGGATTGGGATTGGAAACCCCTCTGGCAGAGCGGGATTGGGATTGGGACTGGAAACCCCTCTGGCAGAGTGGGAATGGGACTGGAAACCCCTCTGGCAGAGCGGGATTGGGACTGGAAACCCCTCTGGCAGAGCGGGATTGGGACTGGAAACCCCTCTGGGAGAGTGGGAATGGGATTGGGACTGGAAACCCCTCTGGCAGAGTGGGATTGGGACTGGATTGGAAACCCCTCTGGCAGAGCGGGATTGGGACTGGAAACCCCTCTGGCAGAGCAGGAATGGGATTGGGACTGGAAACCCCTCTGGCAGAGTGGGATTGGGACTGGAAACCCCTCTGGCACAGTGGGATTGGGACTGGAAACCCCTCTGGCAGAGCAGGAATGGGACTGGAAACCCCTCTGGCAGAGCGGGATTGGGACTGGAAACCCCTCTGGCAGAGCGGGATTGGGACTGGAAACCCTCTGGCAGAGTGGGATTGGGACTGGAAACCCCTCTGGCAGAGTGGGAATGGCGGGAAGGGGGTGAGGAGCCCCCGGGAACTGCCGGGGGCTGTGGTGGGAAGGCAAAACTTCCTCCCCCGGCCGTGGTGACACCGGGAACGCCGGGACCGCCGGTACCTGTGTATCCGATCTTCTCGAAGCTGAGCAGGCTGAAGATGCTGTTGTAGAGCTGCATCTCCTTCTTCCTCGTTTGGTCCATCTCGTCCAGGATCTCCATGAGCTCGTTGCCGGTTTTGGTGGGGTGGGTGCACTCGGCCTCGTGCACCGTCAGCTCGTGGTACGGGCCCTGCCAGGGGCACCCGATCCGCTTGTACTTGCACTGCGTCACCCTGGGCAACGGGAACACGCGGAACACCGTCACGGATCGGGGGGAACACGGCTGGGAACGCACAGGGAGGGGAGGAGGGGGCCCAGAAACAAGGCTGGGATGGTGGGAGAGGCGTGGAAAACAACCAGTGGCACAGCATGGCTTGGGAATCTGGGAGGGACATGGAAAACCATCAGTGGTGCAGCTGGATGCAATGCAAGGCTT